CATGTTGAGGGGGAGGTCGTTCAAGCTGTTCATGTTGAGGGGGAGGTCGTTCAAGCTGTTCATGTTGAGGGGCAGATCATTCAAGTCGTTCACATTCACGTTGCCCATGTTGTTCAGGTTAACCATCCCGTTCATGCCGCTCATGCTACTTATACCGCTCATGTTCATGGGCATGTTATTCATGTTGTTCATACCCAGGTCGTTCAAGCCACCCATACAGTTCATGTTGCCCCCGCTGTTCGCGTTGTTCATGGTCATGCCGCTCACACTACCCATGCCATTGGTGCTGTTCATGCTGTTAAAGCTCGTTATACTTCCCATGCTACCCATGCTGTTCAAGGTGTTCATGGCATTGGCACTGTTGCTTATGGTGTTGGTACTAAAAAAAAGGTCTTCGTAATTCAGCTTGTCCAGGTTCGTTCCAGTGAAATTGTAATAATTATCTTCCGAACCGTTATTGTGCATATTCATACTCAAGTCCAAATTTTCAGTATTCGGTGAGGCCATGTTACAGTTCATTAAGGAGGATGAGTTGCTGTTGTTTCCAATGCCTTTATTATTGTTCCTTGCATATTTCATTAGGGCTCCGTTGTTGCTGCTGTTGTTGCTACCTCCAATCATGTTGTTGTTCGCGAAATTTCCCAGCGAATTGTTTCCAACTTCATTTAGCACACTGTTCCCAATGTTGCTTCCTTTTCCAAATTTTTCTATGCCACTGTTATGTTCTTCTAGGAAGCCCAGAACGTTCAAATTGTCATTTAGAAATTGCTCCTCATTGAACTTTGTACAATCCTCATGCTTTAGGTAATTTCCTACAGAAGACGGGGTGGCATTCCTGTTCCTTCCGTCACACCTACTGCTGTTGTTGTTGTTGTTCATAATCTCGGCATTCTTATACTTGTGGTTCTTGTGCCCCTTTTTGTGGTAGTCGTGCGCATCGTTCTTCCTGCCCATCTTGTTTCCGTTGTGGCTCGAGTTGTGATTTGGGCCGTTGTTTCCGCCGTGCTGGAATCCATTTCCGCTTCCGTTCGTATTTCCACTTTTGACGGCGTTTTCTGCACCTCCCTTCTTGTTACACTCGTAGGAGTTGTCCGTCGCGCTTCCGTTCTGTGCATGTGGGTCCATTACTTCCGTAACATCGCCAACACCATCATCTTCTGTGAGTGCACTAACTTTGTTCGGGTGAGTCGCCTCCTTCTTCTTGGGCATAACACAATACGTTTCACTCCTCTTTCCGTTTTCTCCGTTGTGCATATTGTTGCTGATGCCGTTTCCGCCCTTCTTTTTCTCATAATCCAATTTGTCATTCTTCATTTTGTTCGTTCCAATGATTATATTCTTGTCAGTTATTTCCATTGGATGTTCCCTTAATTCATTCTGGCCATGAGCATATCTGCAAAATTGCCCTGAGAAGCATTTCCCTTTAATAAAGCTTTCGCACAAGGCCGTTTTGTACAAATTTTCTGTGGCTCTCAATTCGATGTTCGTGTGTGCGTACTTGCACTTCTTATCATTGCATGATTCGTTAATTTTCAATTTCGGGCACAAGCTCGTTTTGCACAAATTGGGCAATTCTCTCAATTCATTCTGTGCATGTGCATACAAGCAGGTCTTTCTCCTTTCGCACTTCCCCTTAATATACCATGGGCAAATCTTCGTCTTGTAAAATAAGATCCTCCTCTCGCTAGTGTTTACCACATTGCTCAGATTCTCTTCCTTCCTCATGTGTCTAAAATCCTCATTCATCTTTTCCTTCGGTGCCATGTTAAACATTTTCTTTTCCATAAATTTCGCAAAATTTTTCTTGCCGTTCATTTTGTGCAGATAAGGAGTGGGGATGTAAAAGTTTGGGTGATCTTATTTTGACTTCACTCCTGACTGGAGTTATTTTCCGTTTCCTTTTTGCTAAACGTGGGTAGCTATATATATATATATATAGACACACATACACCCGCGTGCACTTCTTTGTCCCTGTGTTGCTACCGTTTCGCGCGCCTTTCTTCTTCTTTCCGAGTGTGCGCGCGAAGCTACGAGTATACGCTCAGTACTGTACAATCACAATTAAATGCTAAACACGTGGCAATAGTAATTAACACCTCACGGGCACGGAAGCGAATGCAGCGCGGGGTCAAATATATATATATCCTTGTAACGGTAATAAAAACAATGCATACAACACGGTTATTAGCACGCGTATAATCGCATAGGCATTAAACCAATGGGTATTTCACAAACTGTGCAATGTAAATTTTGCAAGTGGAAAAAAAAATGTAGCGTGTGTTTGTTTACTATATTCTACACAGTAAGACCCTTAAACAACAGCATAAAAAGGGTAAGCAGATTGGATAGAACACACTGGGGAAGGGGAATAATCTGGTCTCTCTTTTGCTTGTTTTTCTATTCTCTATTTATTAATCTTCTTATCTCTCCTTTTTTTTTTTTTTTTAATCTGCTTTCGTTAGAAAAAAGGAAAAAAAAAAAGGTGCACTGTGGACGTGTTACACAAATGGCGTAAAACTTGGAGACGCCTGGTTCTTTACGTTCGAACTGTACATACACACGACTACTCACATATATGTATGCAAATATAGATGCTCACATATATGTACCAATACGTGAATGGTACAGTAAGTGTATAAATGCAAGGCTCGCCAATTTGTTCCTTTATATTTTTCTCTCGCGCCTATCTGTTATCATTTTTATTTCCTGGCCTAAATGAGCTAGCAGGCGCACGTTCATGTAAATGTTCATCTGCGCCTCCTTGTCCTCCTGTATACGTCACCACAATGCGTAGTGCGCCTTATGGTACGACTGGACAAAAGCACATTCATTCGTGTGTATACACGTGCGTATATATACACATACATATATGCACACTGATATGCAGGATGAACAGGAGTGATCGCAATATGCTTGAGAGAAAACTTTGCACAAGTAGATACTTGTCTAAACAACTGTATAAAAATAACGCACCACGCAATCGCCGATATAAAAGTGCACTGGGTGTTAATTATCACGCTCTCGTGTTGTATGCTCGTGGTTCACACCCACATACACTCACGTTGGTGAATATTAATTATATGGAAGCTAAAACAAATATTAAAAAAAATAAAAGAAATAAAGGGTGGCAATTATAACATAACACTGCGCCTAAACAGGTGTATGGTTAAAAAATAAAAAAATTCACATACAGGATCGTAAAAAAAATAAAATTTACATGGAATAATATCTCGAAAAACTGTCGTGCCAACAATAGGGACGCAGTAAACAAATGGCGCATTAAAAAAAGCACGCTATAGATAAAATAAAGTATTGCATTATATAAGAGGGAGGGGAATTACACAGCAAAGCAATACAAAATAAAATTTTTAAAAACGATATCTTAAAAAAAAAGCAATTTTAAAAACACTATTTTAAAAATGCAATGCAAAAAGTAGCACTGTGTTAAACATTAATAAGTGGCTCACGGATGGGAAGCGTAATAGTGATATGTCCACATGAACTTGGCTCGTACATTCAGCTCGCGTGTACATATCACAACGTGAAATGTTCTACATAAAGATATTAAAAAAAAAAATACAGAAATGCAAAAATTGCAAGAAAGGCAAGAAATTAAAAAAAAATTCAATTTTAATTACGATTACATGTAATATAACTGTTAATATTTCAGCGTGTGAAAAAAAAATATTTCTCGAAATATTACATTATACATATCTATATATGTAATTTGTTTTAAAGGTGCCCAGCTGTGACATATAAACTCGTGCACGTGTGCATATGGTTTGCATGCACGAGCGCATTCGTATGTAACATATGGCTTCATACATTACAAGACCACACTGGTTTGCGGTTCGTATGTGTGTGGCCAATATATGGTGCTACATATCAATATACGTTCACAGTTTGCGTCCATATATGTCAATGTGCCCCAATATATAATCATTACATATCTCTAACACATGCGCGTGTATGCGTTCGCGCCATGGCGTTCTTTTTGTGTGGACACAAGCATGCACGTTCCTTCTTACACAACACGAATTCGCGCAGTCAAGAATGTAGCACATGCAGGCGGCCTCCGCGAAGGACATGAACACAAGCCCATAAAAACAGCGGCACACCACGGAATCTTAAAAATGAAGAGATTGCATGTGATTATATTTCAAAAGACCAGGGGGGAAAAAAAAATGTACACAAATAAATGCATAAATGAACGATCAAAAGGAAAGTTAAAAAAAAATAATAAAAAATATAACAGCTTCGTAAAATTAAAAAAATATTGCGTAAATCTTAAAAAAATAATTTCGCTAAAATTAAAAAATAAAGTCTACACTTCAATGCAAAAAAAAAAGGCATAAAACATCGAATGGAAAAAGCAATCTCTCTATATATGTATTATTTCCCTGTTGGTACTTACAGAAAATATACAACATAAAACTTTCATGAAATTTATGAAGGGTTATGAGAGGAGCGACCTCAAAAGGTGTGTTGTGTGCGCTGGGTGTGCTTGTAGGCTGGGCGGGAAAGGGACCGTCGCGCCTTTCAGAAAATTAGTATGTAGCCGTCGCGTGCTTGTAAAAAAAAAAAAAAAATGCAAACGAACACACGCGTTGTTGCATACACACGTGCACATGTTCATTTATATGTACACACACTTTGGATGTGCAATGCAATGGCAGAATGTGAGTGGGGACACCATATAGAAAAGAATGTATAATACGCGAGTATACTAATTCTTACACGTGAAAAAATAAAAAATAAAAAAAGTGAAAGGTGAATAAATAAAACAAGTGTAAGTGGATGAGCCTAAAAATTTGTTCGTAAAACACAATAATAAAAAATTAAAAAACACGATGGCTTGTAATTGCCTGGGATAAAAAAGATTGCAAAGGCAGGTGGGCTAATCTTAGAGTTGCTTTGTACATAAACGTACGCGGGACGAGAATGGATCCCATGCACAATTATGCAAGTGTGAATACATGCAACATAAGTCTATGCGCGTAGACAAGCGGTAAAAGTGTACTATGCGTACATATATTTATATGTATATGTACATATATATATATATGCATTTACACATGTGCACGTTTTTCTTCTGAGGCTCGACCTGGTAAAGCCGCTAGCACATAGACATGCGTAAAATTTAATATACATAAAAATAAAAATGAGCGTGATTACACACCTTTGGAGAAAAAGAAAAATAATGAAAAAAAAAAAAAAAAAAAAGCACCAGAGGTAAGCTTATACGTGTGCGCATATATGTAGGAGTTATGTATCTACACATACACACAAGCGTGGCACAAGCACACGTATATATTCCTTATCGCGACAGGACGTGTATATACAGTGGGATTGATGCGCACAAGTGCGTCCGTACAAGTGCATGTTCGTACGAATATAATACAACCCGTACAACACATACGCCTTACAGTGCACGTGAATTTAATCTGAAAGGAATTTATATATCCTTAAACACAAAAAACTAACTATTAAAAATTATTAATGAAACATTTAATGTAAGATAAACATTATTTATTTCTGTTTAGATTGGTTAATTGCAGGTATGAACATGCACAGGTCAAATTTTACGAAAATGAAAAAGCAAATAATATATACGTTTGTTTGTATATAAAAACAAGCAGGCGTGGCACAAGAGGGGGAAGGATGTGCGAATAGGTATACACAATATAAAAAATTGTCTCAAAAAAAAAATATATGGGGCAATTTCACTATACATAACATTGTACTCTTATATATATACGTATACGTAAGCGCCTAATATATGAATATATATAGGGGCACATACACGTATATATATTTACGTACACAGGTATATTAGTAAAGGCCCATATGAAAAGGGGAGGGGCGACGCAGTTTTATATTAATATATATACATGGTACATAATATATATACGATTAAAAAGAATAAACATTGTACGTAAAATTATATAAACATGGGTTTACATGAATAACTTTTTTTTAAAGATTTAAACAATGTTACAATTAAAAAAATAAATATATATATAAATAAATAAAACATGCTATTCTGTAACAGCAGGTTTAAGTTTTTTAAAGTACTTTTTTTTGGGGGATGATGTGGGGAGGATCTTTTTTTTTTTTCTTATAAAAGCAAAAATTCTCTTTAAGCCTTCTTAATCTGTTTTGGCCGTTTTTATATCATTTTAAAACCTTTTGCTTCCTTGTATTAGCTTCTTTGCTTCTTTGATTTTTTTGCTTTTTTGGGTTTTTACGTTTTTGCTTTTTTTTCTTTATTTTTGTTTTATTTTTGCTTGTTTTTGTTTTTCTTTTTTATTGTTGCTTTTATTTATATTTTTGCTATTGCTTCCATTTTATTTTTTTTTTCTGCTGGTACTAATTTTGCTGCAATGTTATTTTTATATGGGTTTTATAAATTTTCACAAAAATTGCCGCAAAAAAATGATATATATATTTCATTGCTATATAAAATTTATACCCGTGAAAGGCTTGTTCACTGTATATACATATATATTATATATGTACATTGACCACGTAATACGCGGGTGGGGCAAAACAATATGCAAGTGTAAAAACCAATTATATAATTATACAACATATAAATATTATAATAAATATAAGAACATGTTTATTTCTTTTGTTCGCTCAATTTGGCCTATTATATTCAGATAAAAAATTGTTCCAATTTAAATTAATGGCTCAACAAGTAATGTCATAAAAAAAGAAAAAAAATACATCATCTATAATATCCTATAAATTAATGATGGCCCAACATGTGCTCAACTGCATAAATGACAGAATCGCGCATGCTACAAATATTTACAAATTTCTTGTACTTTCACCTCGCATATTTTCATATATAAATAATACAATATGCGTAGATAAAGTTCAAATCGATTCTTCTTTTCTTAAAGAAGCTGCATTTACGCGATTGCATATGTATAAAATATGCGAGTTTCAATTTTTAAGTGTTTTATTTTTTTGTCGCGCCCTCTGTGCATATAAAAAATTCACATATATATAATATATGTGCAATGTAATATATTTTGTATATAGCTTTTTATGCGCTATAGAGCGAAAAAAAATACCGCGAAAAAACGGAAGAATCAAAATTCAACGTGTAGCATAGATGCATATGTGCGCTTACAATAGGTGCGTGCAATTTGTATATAAAAGCGTACGGTTCATATAATTATTATATGTGCGCCATGTAGCACGTTGTATTGAACATTGCTGGCGCGGCGCCAGTCGTTGCACTTATATACTTTTTATATATATACAATACATATAAGTATATATGTAAATTTATATGTATGTGCCTGCCTATAATGCGGCAATTCGACGTCAAAAAATGCGTCTTATGCGAGTATGTTTTTCACCTTCAAATATGTGTGCACTGTTTCACTGCGCATGTGCTTAGCATTCCGCACCACGTGAATGGCAACAATTGTGGGACGTACAAGTGTTGTGCCGCTGAAAATTAAGCCACAAAAAAAAAAAACCAAAAAAACAAACATATGTGTACTACATATAAATATATATATTACATACATAATGTATATAATATAAATGTATGTATAACTGCGCGAAACGCCACCTCGTAAAAAGGAGAAAACACGCTTCTTATGTCGAACAAACACTTGTGCAAAGCAAATTTCACAAACCCGTTGCAAAATATTTCCGCGCTGCATGTTACATTTTCAAGTGCAAAAAAAAAAAAAAAAAAAAAAAAAAAAAAAAAAAAAAAAAAAAAAAAAAAAAAAAAACAAAAAAATGACATAAACTTGCGCTTAAAATTGCAGCGCCCATAACTAACCCCATGACTTCCTTTTGCAAAATTGTGGCCCAAATATTAAGCAGCACGCATTAAACGTTTGTAAATACAGTATTAACACAGCTGCTGTTGTTGGTACGTAAGCCCAAGTCGCTCCGATGGGATGGCACATCCACCAAACGTAGCAATAGACGGCATTTTCGGATAAAGGCAACCCCGCTCTACCCAAACCATATATTCATAACCACATGTGTGTTTAAAAAACGTTCGTGCTTGCGGCCCCTCGGCCTCACGGACCGATTAACAAATTTGAGAAAATGCACACCACACCCGGTGTCGCTGTCTTCAGTGCTTCTTCAGATTAGGTACCAAAGTGCGTAACTGAGATCATAAAAAAAAATAATCCCCATTGCCGACGCGAACGCTAATCCCAATCCCACTACAATAATATTTCTTGTGTCCTTATATATATAAATATTTGCATGGCACGGTTGGTCGTTTAAAAAATCGTTTTTTTTTTGTTACCTGTACGAAGCTCGCACCTTCGCAATATCACCTGTCGATCGCGTAGGCTGCGCACAACGGTACAGCATGTACCCTTTGGACACGTTTAATTGTGCCCACATGTTCCGTTTGGAAAAATAGAACATATAAATCATGTGGTCCTATTTAATTAATACCTGAAAAAAAAAGCAGACCTGTAAGCACATTTCAGGTGCATGCAATTTTTCTATTTTAACCCTCGCGTGACATGGCAGAGTGTGGCTTCTTCTGTGTTAATGATTAATGGGGCTTTTCCGGGCACTCCACCAATAGGTACATTCATATAAATATATATATGTGCCTATATATATATATGCACCATGACCATACCGCGATTGCACACGTGGCCTTCAGTTTCATTTTATGTTGCCCTCGCTTTTGTGCATCCCCCTGCGGTAATGATTAAAAATCGCCATTTGTGGGCAGCCCACGCGTGAGAAAAGAGCCCCTACATTTATCTGAACCGTTTTTATGAGAATGAAGAAGGCATCAATTAACAATCTTCGAACTTCATACTCGCCATTTTGCTGCGCCTGTTTCGGATAGGGCAAAAGTGCAACTCCACAAATGTGCATTTTTTTTTGTACAGTGGAGTCGTACATTCATACAGTTCTGCTTAGTGCCATTGCGGTGTATAACCACGTGTGACTGCCCCAATGGATGCACCACGTTTTATGTACCCATATTATTGTTAACTCTGGTTTAAGAAATTTATCGCGCCAAATAGGGAAGAGGCGATTGGGAGGACGAGTTCACGTTACCCCAACGTCAGATATTCCCGGAGATAATTCACTAAGGGGAGTTTTACAGCCCCCTCTTAAGAAAAGTGTAGCCGTCTGTGTATCTCACAATTCATTAAAGCACAGGGCTTACATTATACGAACGGGTTAATAAAAATTGTGGACTTTTTGCCATCGCAGGGAATACAAAATATAGCGTGGTTGTTAATGGCATATGCCATAGTCTTTTTTTTTTTTTTCGGTTTTTATCATTTTTTATACCCTTCGTTAAAATAAAGAGGCATGTTGCTACAAACCGCCTTCGATATATTCATTCATGTCGGCGTATCCATTAACACACAACAGAATCGTACCATTTAAGGGGTATATTCCAATTGGTTGCGCTTAAACATTATAACGTAGCAGAATGACTGCCCATTTAGTGTTACGACGCAACGTCCGTTCAGCAAAACACAAAAAAGTTACCCCTTAATGTGATGAAAAAAAAAAAAATTTTCGTCAGTTTCGAAAAAGACTCATTCGTAGCAACAGGGGGTAAAACTGAGTTGCGAAGCTTGTCTCACAGTGCACACCGGATCGAGCTATTTCAAGAATGACTACACATTTGTATACGTATATGTGCACGCATATATTTGCGCGCGACGACAGGAATTCATAATATGGATAACAAACTGCAGATCGCATTTTTTTTTTTTTTTTTGAGTTATGCGCTCCGCACCATTAGGCCGCTAAGTGCTACACAATGGTGTGTGTTTCAAATTAATGCTTTCCAAATTGGGGAAAAAACACTTTAAGGTAACAACAAGGTTTTGATGGCTCAACTTTTTATCGCCACGTGAGGGCATGTTAAAAAAATTGCTTCTCTCGTAGCCGTTTTGTCCACCTTCCCCTTCGTGATCATACGCACTGAAAAGGTTATCCACCCTTTTGCCCTCAACTTCTTTGTCACCACGGAGGCATGACAATTGCGTGTTAAATGATAAATCGAACTGCTTCAAATTTGCCAAAAAGGGAAAATAACTGAACCACTTTATTCTATTAAAACTGATGTTTATGTGGGAAATATTTTTGTGTCCATTGAGTAAGTACTTAACAAAATGGAGAGACGTAATTTTGTTGTGTTGTAAATAAAGGTGAGTCAAATTGGGTGCTTGCCAATTCAGTGCCCCTTCTTCACTAGGATGTTCTCCCTTCGTCTCGGCTACGAAGAGAGGATCCCTCTCCACGTTAATTCCGCATGGTGGACGTGTCTCCATTTTAGCAGGCGTAGACGAACCATCCATGGGTGCCAATTCACAAATCTCATTGTGCGATAAACACAAATGAAGGAGATTCTCCAATTTGTATTTCCCCCAGTAGGGAAAAATAATTAAAAGATTTTTTTGTATGTTTATTGTTTTTAAATTGTGCACCTTTAAAACACTCCCCTCACCAATTATTTCATTCTCGATGAGAACACACAAAATATTGTCAATGGATAGGTGTGTAAAATAATTCCAGGACAGATCCAATTCCCACACAATTAAATTCTTTGCCTTTTCCTGGTTATCACATTTTCCCGATTCAACTTCTTTATTCTTTAGGGAAGGTATCCCTATTTTGTTACTGCCATCTGCTGCTATTCCCACCTCTGCCTTTTTTAACGCATCCAATATGGTTGCACGATTTTGACGTACCATTTGAGCAACATTTTGTTCGCTTCTTAACTTTAGCTTTTTAAAATTTAATATGACATTTGTGCAAGCACCTGATGGCTCATCTGTACGTTCCATGTACACGAAAGTCCTTTCAGGGTATCCCCATTCTTCTCCACAGTCGCCCTCTGCCCCGTGGTAGCAAGCCACATCCAGGGGCATCCCCCTGCCTAACACTCTCGCTGCTTCCTTCATTGCCATGCATTACGGCACATGCCCTTTTTTTCACACTCACCACTATTACGATCTTCCCTCACTATGAGAGGAAATTTTTAAAAAGGCAGTAGCGGTACCCAGGAACCTCTGACCCCCAGCACGTCCGCGCATGTCGTGGCACACGCTCTCGTAACAAAAGGGACCAACGGATCATTAGTTACAGGGACAACATTATAAAATAGGGGGAAATAACAACTTGGCGCGCGGGACTTTGAACCCGCTTTGGGATTTTGTTGGTGAGTAGCAAACTCAGAGTTAAATGTGATGCTCAGGTTTGTGCGAACTAGCACGTATCCCTCATGTACATTTTTACGCGCTCGCTTATTACCTAATCACGCACGCACTCCAGCGACCCTGTCGAAATGCTGGCCCGAACCCCCTAACATGCAAATAATGTTCAATTTCATGCAAAAAAAAAAAAAAAAAAAAAAAAAAAAGGATCAAGTGACGTGTAATAAGTTATGCGCAATGACGACGGAGTGCAAAGGGGGCAGCCACGAGAAAAAAAAAAAAGTGGATAACATCCCCATTGTTCTCCTATACAACGTTGTGCCACACTTCTATCATTTTATATTTTCACCATAACAAAAAAGGAGTAATCATAATACTTAAAACACTCAACACGGTTTCCCTGCGTCCTCGTGTCCGTCGTTAAGGTAGACCAAGCAGGAGCTATGCGGTAGGGTCGTCTCTGCACATGTATGCCTTCACAAGGTACTACCTGTTAGTGCATTTCTCCATGCAGAGGTAAGCAGCAAAATAGGTGTGTGTGTGTGTGTGGAAGGGATAAAACACAGGGATATACATTCATTTTGGAGTGGTATTAAAGAGATTTTTTTTGTGTGTGTTCTCTTTGACCCTATCACACCACTTCCATTTCACCGCTTTCCCTTTTTACGATGTAGGTCTCCGTTGGAGCAGCTGCTAAGCCCTACGGACAAGTATCGAACGGCGGGTAAAAAAACACCCATGTTATTAAAAAAAAAAAAAGGGATTACACCTAACAATTAAGGGGCAAAATATAGTGGAAACTCTACAAGTGGATCGTGCCCCGCCATCACGGACGTATTTAACCATCACGGCAAAGGATGTCATGTAAAGGCTCGCGACTGACCCAAGGATGAATAACGACGAAGTGAAAATTATCGAACAGGAATATAAACACTTTTATAATAAGTTTTGCTACATAGATGAAAACACATTTTGCATAGATATAAATATGAGTGAAGAAAATGAAGAAGAGGAGTCCAGAAATATGGTCACCAAGAAAACGCTAAAACTGGTCATCCAATTTGATGGTCACCGTTTTGAAGTATTGACTGAACATACACTTCGAGAAAGTTGCGACAAAAAAACAGAGTTTGAAAACATTGAACAAATTTTCAATACCTTTTGTCCCTTGTCCTTTAAAAAGTTCATCAGCCAAGACATCACAAGGAGGTTAAATTCGTCCTTGTAGCTTTTCAGCCCAAAGGGGACAGACGCAGCTCTCGATTGTGCGCCCTCTGTGGGGTGTCATCGCCCCTATACGATTTAATTGGCCTCCCCAAAATTTGCATGTTAGTGGGGAAAAAGGTGGCGCAAAAAAAAAAAAAAAAAAAAAAAAAAAAAAAGAGTGAAAAGTTCGGTACAGAAAGGGGGCGGAAGTTGGCGAATTTTCTTCCAAATTGACACAATTCACAAAATTGCGAAAGGGACAAAACACACGTATAAGGCGTCCTAACGGACTTGCCAAAAAAGATTAGTTGAAAAATAAAAAAACCATCGGCCATCCCCGCCCCTCATAAAGTTAGTTCAGTTTAAGGGGAATTATTTACCGATATAAAAATCACTTCGTAAGCGGACAAGCCACCACCACACCACACCAACGGAAGCCACTTAACACCACCTTACGCTATAGCAAGAGGACAACTGACACACACGTTCCCACGACGCATCCGTCCACAAATGAGCGACTTCGTGAAGGTCGACCTCGTACATAATCTGTACAAGAACAAAACATGGAAAGAAATAAAACTAAACAAATTCGAAAGTATAGAAAATGTTAAGAAGAAAATATACACACACACAGGAACCTCCCACAACCACATGGACCTCTATGCATATGACGAACTAAATATAGAAAACACGCAAGTACACCTAGGTAATGATCATTTTTGTCTTAACGATTATCATGTGAAGGACAACTACACCATCTACATACAAGATAAAAACAATGCCGTCCACAATGACATCATTTATCACATTGATGATTCTGAGAAACTAAACCAACTGAAACATCTCAAATATGAAATGAAAGAGGAGGACTATGACAAACGGCAGGACACGTTTAGGAATTTTATAAAAAAGTTGAGGGCGCGTGGGGGAGGGGCTCCAAATGGGGAAAGCCACCCCAACGGGGAGATCCACGCAAATGGGCAAGAAGACCCCCTCAAAACCCCCCCCTACGATGAACAGACCTACCAAATTGGAAACCGCTGTAGAATCAAAATAGGAGACCGAAGAGGCGTTTTAAAATTTGTGGGAAAATTAAAAAAGGGAAACGAAATTTCCGTTGGTGTCGACTTAGACGAACCTTTGGGGAACTCCGACGGGACATACCAAAACAAACTTCTCTTCGAATGTAAAGGAAGCAAATATGGGTACCTTGGAAATATTAACTCCATCGAGGTGGGAGACTTTCCCCCTTTCGACATTATGGATGTGGACGAATTTTAATCCACTATATGGAACAGGACAGTGAAAAGAAGCCTTTTTTTTTTTTGCCCACCCACACAGCGTTTGCACAAACATTTTACATGCTGCCCGAAGCCGCAACAAATTCTCAGCCCCATACGTAAAACTCACACACGCATCCTTGGGGCGTTACTCTCTGCGCTTTGTTCCCATGTCTGCGTAGTTTTTATGGACAACATATTGGCATGTTAAGCGCTCTTTTTTCTTGTTTTCTTTTCTTTTTTTTTTTTTTTTAACATCTCATCTCTTCTATCTTCACTCAAGACGGGAAACAAAACGCACTTATTGTTAAGAGCAGACTGGGCATACGTGCCCATTGGGCTCCTTTGGGGCTGGCCTTCCAATGCCCCCCAACATGTTAACTCTGTATTTATATGCGTTCCCCACTCCGTTCCACTTGGCCATTTTACTAAAACATCCATTTGTGGTACTAACGCATGTGAGGGAAAACAAAATAAAAAGGGTCAGCATAACTGTTGCGATGTGAGCGCATAAAAAAAGGATAAGCTTCCCATGCAAAAGTAATTTTTATTTTATTTTATTTTTTTTTTTTTTTTGCCCCATATTTTGTGCAGTGCAAAATAGAGATGGGCAAATATTTTTATATATTAAAAAGCCCTTGTTTTTATTTTTAAAACACTGCGCATTGATACAATTCCTACAAAATGAATTAAAAATTGTGTTCAAATCTCGACTTGGAAGAATATTCATAACAATTTTCCCTTTTTTGGAAAGGTATAAATTATTATATTTGTCACCCCACCCCCCTTTTAATTGCGGCGTATACTCTTTGGTTTAAGGGTTACAGTTTATTTTGCTTCCCTTCTTTTTTGATAATGGGCAAAAACTTCAGTTGTCTCCCCTCCTCGGCGTCCTAAAACCCCTACCACATGCATATACGTACGTTTGTTGCGTAGGCTTATGTACGCGTCCGTTCTTGTATTTAATTCCCCACACTAGTACTATCGCGCAGCAGTTTGTAAATTTCGCCTTTTTTTAAAAAAATGACTGATGAAAATGAACAACACAAATATGCGCTGCTCCAAGAAATGAGTGAGTACAAAAACAACAGCAAGAAGTTCCCCGATATGTTGAAGAGTTACATACATGAGAATATCTCTGACCAGGAGCTCGCGCAAAGGTAAGTAATGCCACGCGGTGGAGTCACCCCCATGTTGTTGCAGGCCATCACTACTGGGCTGCCCCAAAGGAAGAAAAATTCAAACCCTCTTTTTGTTTACCCTTTCCCCACACCACATACTTTGCAGATTTTTAAAAGAATTCGATGACTCCTATTTAAAGATTATGAACCTTGATGAACTGGAGCTTCTCTGCTCGTTCATCCTGAAAAGGAGAAACATCCAAGTGAAGTAGCTCACCCTGGCTTAAGCAGCCGAAGTTTCCATTGAAGGGAAAACTTCCCCATTTGGCACACCTTTTATCTAACAAGTTTATTTGTTATGTAGAAGAATAGACCAAAAAAAAAAAAAAAAAAAAAAATGCCCCCAAAAGTTTGAGACACTGTATAGTGACAAAAAAATTGAAGGCCACACGTGATGCAAAACTATCCAATAAGAGTAATGTTTTGCATCACGTGTGCCCGTTTTTGCTTCCCTGGAGTACCCCACCCACAACCGCTTCGTGAACACCTAAGATGTACTGCATCAGGTGTACGGATGGGCCGTCCTGATCGAAGCAGACATTTTCCGACATGTAATTAATGACTTCCATATAATTTGCGTGCTCTAACAAATAAAATTTTTTTTTTTTTAAAATAAAATTTATCATATGAAATAATAATTTAAAACTAACTCTTCGAATGAGGAAATTTTTATTTCGAATGTAATAATTTGTTAATGTAAATCCGTCAAGCAAAATGTCTTCTATATAAAAGGTGCAGTTGCACGACGTGGTAAAAAATACCATGTACGTTGAGATTAATGATAAGACAATGGATGCATCATTTGAATAATATTTTCTCAACTTGTGTTCATCATATTCTATACCGACTGCTTCCTTTTTTCTGTTTACGTTTAGCAGTTTTGTGTAAGCACTAGCGAAGAAGAAGCTGCAAAGGGTGGTCATCGACTTGGTCTTTTTTTCCCCACTATTTTGGAGGCTCATCTTGGAGGCCTCCTTTTTTTTAAGCAGAGCATTATTACTGTCTTTTTCTCTTATAAGACAAATTTTGCTTCTCTCGTGTGTGTCTCTGTTTGGCTTGAGCAACAGGTCGGTGTTCCTCTTCCATCCTGTGTTTCCACTTCGGAGTGCTTGCTCCTCATCTCCATGCTCGCCATTCGCGCCATTTGTAACGAAAACGCTCCGACCCCCCACCTGCGCGTCATCCGATTCCCTTTTACTCGTCGAATCAGACGGGGGGAGGAGCGACACACGTTCGGAAGCGACATGGACAGCGCCATGATCGTAGTTAGCATCCTTCCCATCACCACTTGGGAAATTCTCAATCAGATGATAAAATTTATCCGAGATGCTTCCTAAGTCGGCTTGGTGGTCCACGCATCGGTTAGCTTCTTCACTCCCTTCCCTTCTCACATTCTTCCCCGACACGCTGAGCTCCATCTGCGCCGTAATCTCGCTTGCGCTCTGAAACACTTGGCGCAGAGTAGCGCGCCCCGCAAGAAACAAAACGCACAACTGCAGACACAACAGCATCACCATCTTTTGTACACTCGAGTACATATTCGAGTAAACATTTTTAAAAACAAAATTGCATATCTCAATTGGCGCATTGATGGTAAGAAGGATCATGTCGAGCAGCTTGATCGTTGCGAAGGGGCTCTTCCCTTCTCGAAGCAGACAACTCGAGTGGTTTAACGAAAGGAGCGCTTCATATAATTCTACACACAAATAGGTTAACACATCCCCTTTTCTAATAAACCTGGGCAAGGAAACCACTGCCTGACATATGCGAAAATTTTCCTCATCATATGTCTCCTTCTGTTCATTCAATTTCAAATGGTCGTTATTCATATCTTGCTCATTTCTTTCAATATAATTTGCTTTGTTTTTCATTCTGTGCAGACATTCGAATAGATCTTCCGGTGGGTCTGTATACATATGCTTGTTCCGATCCAGGTTGAGGTAAAATTCGTTTTCCAATTCTAGCTCAACTAAGAACTGCTTCTCTTCTATGTCGTACAGTTCGTTGTCAATTAACGAATCTGCGTTTTGAATCAGCATATCGTCTTCGCTTCTTTTCTTCCCTTGGTCAAGGGGGGGTTCCCGCAGACTGGCCACCAGCACGTCCACTTGGTCATCCATTTCGCCATCCGTTTCGTCCTCCATTTCGTCATCCATTTCGTCATCCAATTCATCACCCCATTTGTCGCGGTCCATGCCCCACTCCGGGTCGCTCGTCCGGATCAGGTCCTCCAAGTAGACAAACCCACTTTGCTTAATAACCTTGAAGCACCTCAGTTCTGCTGGGAAGCTCTCTGCAGGCTGTTTCAAATTAGGGAAGAGAGTACCTCCCTCCTCACAATCTTCACAACTGCCCATTTCTATCTCCGTCCGCTTATACTTTTCTTCCCCCTTGTAGGATAATCCATCAACGTAAATCCTGAAATGGTCAGCCAGTATTTGCCCAGCCACCAAAGACACTTCATCCTTTCGATTAAACAACTCACGTACCATTATGGTAACCCTTTCAAATACCTTTGCACTGTGTTGAGAATTTAATTTGTATATATGTAAGTCCACCTCGGAAAGTACGTCAAATTGGTACGAACTGTCAACAAGCTTTTTATTTACAAATTTCATGTGCATGCTAAATGTGTAGAGTAATTTGCTCAACATGATGGGGACAAAACTTGAAGAACCTTTCTGTTGAGAATCGGGCGAGAATTGTCCCAAGACGAAAAAAAACATTTCTTGTAAAAATTCGAATGCCATTATTCCGACTGTACTCCGTTCATCCAACGTGCAATGTGTATCACAGCTATATATGCTTTGAATTTCTTCCCCTTTCACCTGCCGAACAACGGTGCGGTAACTTGTTCTCTCGCGAATCACCTCACTAGAGTGAATCACTTCTTTCTCACGTGTGAAGTTTGCGAATAGTGCGTTGGAAGATGTCCAATTGGGACCCACCAAATCGGATATGAGTTCAATGAAGGTGAGGGAAAAACTGAGCGGCAAAAAGTTACGGCAGTTGATGCTGAAAAATTTTTCCAAAATGTAGAAATCCCATTTATACAAAAAGGAAAGTTTTATAATTATACACAGAAGATGCTTTACCGATCGGTTAAATAAACATAAGGAGAGCTTCTCTTCATTCTGAACGACCTTGACAAAAGGACTCATATTCTCGATTAAGCTCGTGAGTAGTTTTTCTCCTGCAGATTCCCCATGGCAGTACAAGTGCACGTAATAGAAGAGGTTCTGCACGATTTGGTTCATCCGGGTTAACTTGAGAACGTCCTCTGAGCTTTCCCCCAAGTCGTCCGCTTTGACCATGTCTGCCACGTGTTCCAATTGTTCAACCTTGCCACTCCCACGTACGAGAAGAAGCCCCTCAAGTAGTGTCTGACAAAAGGGATTCACCAAATGGCTATTCACCACACGCTTCGTTAACAGAGCCATCTTCTCATAGTTAACTGTGGCTTCGTCTCCATGTAACCAATAAAAGACACAAGTGTTCACAACATGTTTAGAAAATCCTTCGTCATTCAATGCCCCTGGAATTATATGCTGATAAATATACAGTTTCCTCTTTTCGTCGCTTCCTTTTTTTACCCCTACATCGGTTATACACTTAAATAGGACAAACGGAAGGGTAAAATATGCCTTAATAATGTTATGAATATCTTCATGGTACTTTTCCAATGCTGTGTCGATATTGTTTTCCCTTTGTTTAATTGCCTTTACGTTACTATTGTGCTGCTCCATGTGGGTCGTACTCTGGGGAGGTCCTGCAGTGTCTTCTTGGTGTAACACCCCTCCGCGTAGGTACTTGGATAAGATATCCCCCTCAACATAAACAAATTTTATCAAATCGAGGACGAATGACCAATTTTCAAGGTCCACCTGGTCAGCACCTTCACCATCAGCACTACCACCAAGCACCATACTTAACGCTTTGTTAACTCCACTTATGATCCACTCACTGAGGTAGACCCCTCCGAATGGGAAGAGTCTTTCCACCTGCGTAATCACCCTTCCTCCTGAGTCCTTCCAATTTGGCACAAAATCAGAGTTGTAGTAGGGGGTAGCTCGGCATAGGTCTTTTCCTACCTCTTCATGTAACTCTTTCCTCCTTCCCACTTCACAAACAGGAATGAACCACAGGTAGATCAAATGGTACCTCCGTGCTTCTTCAATCGTCTCGATCTTCAAAACTCCTTTCAGTGCAGAGCTGATAATACTGTGCAATATAAAGAAGCATTCGCCTATCAGTTTGTTCATATTATTTTTCATCATTTTTAGGGCTCCTTCGTTATTTCCCCTCATTTGCATTTTCGCCATTTGGACACTTAGCGGAATGTGTGTCGCGAAAAATTTCTTTAACACCTTCTCTACATCTCCCCCCCGTGCGCCCTTAGGTAGGACGTCCTCAAGGTGGGTTTCTTCCTTAGGGTTCATCATCTGTGTTTCGTACACTCTTTTGGGTGTGTGCAAGTGCGTGTGCCGCGCCTTGTTCGAAGTTTGCTCCGTTTGTACCAGTTGTCACACCACCCACATTAGGCCTCTCACACTGGTGAAGTACCGCTATGCAGTTCCCCCGAAAGGAAGGAAAAACGTGCGCACATAATTGTTCATACTAATGGGACTTTCTACTTGGAGGATGTTTTTTCCAAATTGAGTCATCAATCAAAATGGGGCCAACTCTACCATATAGCCGCCTTTTTTTTTTTTTTTTTTTTTTTTTTTATAAAAACAGTTCTACTTTTTTTGTTCTGAACAGTTCCATTACACAAACGCAATGTGGTAAATTTCCTCCGAAAAAAAAAAAAAAATGTGTGAATGTTCATGTACACTTTTTAGAGATTTCCCTTCAAAAGGGAACTTTGAACAAAAGTGTCCATTCGTTCGTCCCAGACGAAATGCAGAGTACTAATTTTAAAGGGAAAAAAAATTACCTCATCCATTTGGAACCGCATCATGATGTGCCCTCATACCATAGATTACTTCGAACAACCCATTCCGTGCATGCACGTATATGTATATTTATGCCTATATGACTATTAGTCCCCCCCCCCCCCCCCCGCCTTTTGTAGTTTTCACAAGGGGCAAAAAGGGTAAGGACTTACCTACGTAGATAAGCACATGCGCGTGTACAATTTTTCCTGTGCCGAGTACGAATCTGTGTACAAGGTAGGAGGGAGCATGAGGACTGTCACGCCAACGGGATAGGCTGATAGAACCGTTTAAACACAAATTGGCTAACCGAACATCACCATGTAAGGGGCTCTTACATCATATGCTACTGCATGTTTGTAGCATTCCCCTTCTGTGAACTAGCAACACAGGAGAGAGGGAGACTAATCCTGTGAATAACTATTTCGTACATTTGGGATTAGCTCCACTACTCTGACGGTGATCATTCATAGAGTGTTGATGAACATCTCGGTGGTATAATTCGCGTGCGCACTTACCCCCCCCGGTGAAGACGTAACATTTTTTTTCCTTCTTTTCATTCACTGGTCCGTGTGAACATGAGTATCCTTTGTTACTTTTCTAAACATGTTGAAAAAGGGGAACTCGTGCGATTGCGGCATGTTATGTGTGCCCAGAAAGGGAAGTGGACCATAACAGGAGGACCCGTGCGAGAAGGGTTAAGTCAAAATGGAAGAATATTCTCGTGTGCAACCACAGTGTGCAATGCACAATATACAACTCAATTTGGAATATAAAAAAGGGGATCGGGAGTGGCTAATTGCATAGTCCTTTTCCTCGGCGTTGTGAAACCGGTACATGCTCCATAAGTCACCCCGCTATGTGACTTCCCCACAAGTATGCAATTCGTTCAATGCAAATGATCACCCCTCCTTCCCCAACCCGTACAGACATTTACGTCCAATATTCACATTTGGACTGCATGTGGACAACTGCCGCCACAACTTTGTAAATCCAATGTTCGAAATTTTTAATTTCTCCCATTGGCCTACGTCTTCATACGATATACCACTGATGGCCATTAAAAAGGAAAAGGAAAAGAAAATGATAAGATACCTTTCTTCTTTTTTTTTTTTGGTTTTTGAGCTTTCACAACAATTAAAGAAAAAAAAAGAAAAAAAAAAAAAACGGAGGAAAAATGTAAAGTTAAACCTAATATATAACTCACTTTTGGACACTTTAAAATAACAAAAAAAAAAAAAAAACCTACATAACATGTTTCTTCCTGTAATCTTTTTGGACTTTGCAAAGGGGAAAATACCATAAAGGGAAAAAAGCCATGCCATTTAACTCCGTCCACCATAGGACATATATAACCATGTGCGTTTTTGCCTGTATACTATACGAGGTAACAATTTGAGCAAAAGTCAAAAAAGAAAAAAAAAAAATCTAATGGGATGGACTTATTACAGGGAAAAAAGGATTAAATACTTGAGCGATAAATGTAGGCAAATCCGAAGGATACTGTATTTTTTTTTTTTTTTACGCAAAGCAGTGAGGACAAAAAAGGGTGCAAATTTCTTTCCTCGTTTTTTTTTTTTCCTCACAAAATGGACTTTTCCCTATAGGCAGGACAAGGCCACTTGCATGTTAAATACTGTCCTAACCAAACCATATAGGAAAAAAAAAAAAATAAGTTGTACATTGCAGGCACACAAACTCTGTAGATATATAAACCTTCGCATGGAGCGTTTTGGAAGAATTATATATATGATATTGATTTGACCGCATCGTTGCGCTCTTTTGTTTTTTCACCTTTTTTGTGTTTGTTTTCTTCCGTGACTCGCGCGCCCTGTGGCGTCGCCAACTGCGTCCGATGGGTTAATGAGGCAAAGCGCGAATATAATCCAACCAATATGACCAGGCTCGCCATAACATATAATATATGCACCAGCTCATACATGCGCGTTAAAATAATATTTTACGCACAAGTGCAGCGCACGCGTAGTTCCTCATTATTGCATGGGGGACATATTCGTATCGTGCCTAGTTTTTATGTATATGTATAATGATACAGGGGAAAACCCAAACTTGTTTTTGCGGGGGTAGAACAAACGAACTCTGGATATTGACGTGCGCGTGACAAGAGAAATTTTTTTTTTCGTGTTCCCACTCTGGAGGGTTTGAAACGAGCATGCATAATAAATTAAATATCCCATAACATGAACGACTCATGATCTTGTTTAATCTCGTTTAATCTCGTTAACCTTGGTAGGAGGACATGATTAGCGAAAGGAAAACTAGCTACATTCTTAACCAAAAATCCTTAGGTCATCATTTTCTCTTTATAATTATTACGATTTTTGGAGCAATTTCGTTTTCTTCCCCTTTTTTTGTGTTTTTTTTTCAAAATTGCTATGTTTAAAGGGCAGAACAAAAAACGGGGGAAAGATTCAACTAGAGAATATTTGACAGAACTTGAAGCACGGAGAAAACACCAAACATAAAAAAAAAAAAGAAAAGGACAAAATACAGTAGTTACTATTGCAGTGCGTTCATTTTTGCGGTTCATGTAAGGATCCCCCAAAAGTTTTCCATTTTATATATTAGTGCCACCTGCCACCCGTTTTTGTATACTCAGTACAATTACTGTTTTAATAACCAATTGCTAATTATCGCAGCATGAATTTTACATAGCCAACCATCTCATAGCAGAAAAGGCATTACCAATTTGTACCCATAAAATAGGAAAGAACTAATTTTGCCGCAAGCACCAAATCATCCATAGGGGGAACAGCAAGACGGCCATTTGTGTAGTGCTCGTATGGAAGGCGAGATAGCTACTTAGCAGTAGTCCACTCAACCATGTTCCTATTTACGGCGGTTCTGTTGCAGTAGCCAACATTAGATAGAGTCATGCCAGCACGCATGCACCCTGTGACACTGTTTTTTTTTTTTTTTTTCCGTTTTATTTCATCCCACCGTTTGCATACCAATTTGGCTCCCCACCTTGGTACACACGCATGTATGCTACAGTTTTGCTGAAACAAGATTGAAGACAACGCGGTGACCAATTTTTATTGAGAGTTTTTTTTTTTTTTTTTGCGTGTCTAACCAGTGAAGCTGAGGTAAACGTGAGACCTTCCCCCCAGACGTCATCATGGGGGATCCAAACACTGTGGAGCTGCGCCCTATCGACGAAGACCACAGCGAAAGGGACAAAAAAGAGGAAAATGTAGGTGATGGGAAGAAATATCATCGAAGGAAGGAAAGCTTAAACAAGAGGAAGGAGAATGCACATGATTTACATAGTGATGACACACAGGGAGGTCAATCAAGGGGGCACAGCGATGTGCATAAGAGGAGGCAAAATGACCACCACCGTAGAGATGGTTCATGGGGTGGTAGTGCACAGACGACCAAGGGTGAAGACGGCGCATCAGCGAATCAAACTTCTAACGAGGCTGCTAATGAAGCTACCAGCGCAAATGCCAACGAAGCAGCTGCGGACACAGTCCGAGCGAGGGAACGGCGAAGCCACGGGCCTAACGAGGGGCAAGACAGCTCCACGTGCGCTGACCTTGATGAAGAAACCAAGTTCATGGAGAACTGGGAAGAAACACAGAAAAGGCTGTACGATCCAACCATAGGGTTAAGGAAGCACTACACAAATGAACTACTCTCATGTGGAGAAAAAAATAACGTACGTGTATTGGAGAAGTGGTCATCTATGATCAACAGAGACATCAACTGGTTCATGAAGACACACAGAACGACCTTCCTAAGGAGAGTGAAAAGAGGGATCCCACAAAAATATAGGTGGAAAGTCTGGTTCCAAATAACCAACAGTAAAATTCTGCTCAACAAATATCAAAAAAAATATTATTTTTTATCCAAAAAAAAATCAAATTATACCAATTTGATAATGATAGATATATCAAGGACCTTTCCCGAGTTATTAATATTCGATAAGTATGCTCAGGAGCAGCTGTTTCGCATTTTAAATGCATATTCAAATGTGGAGCCGTCTGTAGGGTACTGCCAAGGGATGAATTTCCTGGTAGGACTCCTACTCATAGTAAGCAATTTTAATGAAATCGAAACCTTTTGTGTTCTAGTTAGTCTCATGAATAATTATCACCTGAAGGAATTTTATAAAGAAAAATTTCCTCTACTTAATAGATATATATATTTATTTGAGAAAATATTACAATGTGAAGTTCCCGACTTGGTTGATCATTTTAATCAAGAAGAAGTGTTTCCTCCTGTGTACCTACACCAGTGGTTACTAACACTATTCATTGCTAGTCTCCCGATCAAGAGTGTTATAGTTATATGGGACTACCTATTCAGTACCAGCATAAAAACCATTCTTATGATCTCAGTTGCTCTGTTGAAAATATTAAAAAGCTACTTAATGAAACATAAATTTGAAAAAATTTTAAAATTATTAAAATCATTAAAGTATAATGAAAGCAACGATGATATTCTCATTGCAAAATTATTAATAAAAAAATCAGAATCCGTTAATTTAAATCCTGAACTTAGTTTCCTCTTTGATAATATTGAGAGGGAAGATATTCCCTTTGATGGACAATTCAAATTTTTCATTGAAGATATAAACACTTGCCATTTTACCCATGTGCAAGAAGAGCCTGCCCCCAATGGTACTACAGGAGTAACTGATGGCACAAACGTGGATCAGACTGGCCCAGCCAATTCCACTCCTCCAGGAAATTTCACCCCAGGGGTTTTTTCCCCTGGAAGCTTCACTCCAGCCAGTTTTAGCCCGTCCAATTTTTCCGCCCTTGACGGAGTTCCCCTCCTGAACTTTTTCTCAAACCGGGTTCTTAAAAGGGACAGCCTAGCAGAGCGTCAAGGGGAGAGGAAATTGTCTCAGGGAAAGGCGGCTAGGGGACATAGTCGCACACCCCAGGGGTCTCCAAAACTGCAGAGAATTAAAGAACAAGATGCGAAGGAGATGACCCCGTCGTGCAAATGCGATCGGAGGGGAGAAGAAGAAAAGCAAAAACAACATAGTGAATATGAGGAGGATATACAAAATGGGGAGGACAAATCGAAGAACGCACGAGACAGGAATAACATGAACACGTTTTACTACAAAATTTTAAGCAGCAATGAAAAGAATTTGAAGAAAACAAAAAATGAAACCGTGACTAGCCAAAATAGTAGCAACGACACGGGAAATGACATTTTCAGCAATTCGACCAACCAGTCTCATCGGACCCATCATGTGAAATCGTCAAGTGTTCCCAGGTCACTCCCCATCGCAGGAAGCAAATGGAAAACCATCAACATGAACAGTACCACTGGGGAGTACTACGCCGCAGCGAGGGGAAGGCAGTCACTCCGCAGTATGAATAAAAAAGGCTCAAAGGGTGAAAAGATGAATCTCCAAAAGGGAATTTTATCAACCCCGGTTGATTCCTTCCCAAGCAGTTACGAAGAGAAGAAGCATACGCAACTGAATTGTGATGGGAGTGAAGGGGCAGCGAGGGAGAACCATCAAAAGTCACTCAATTCTGCGCAGAAAGAAAGCACCACCGATGAGAGAAGCCACTCGAGCCATGCAGGTAGTAATGAACCTGGCCAGGCAACCACTTCAAGCAGTGCGCACAGAGGGAAGGACGTCACCGAAGACAATGCAAAGGCTAACGCGCACACCTGTGAAATGTACGGCAGTAATGTAAGCGAAGAAAATTTGTCTAGCTTCAACCTAGCCGGACAACAGATTATTAAAAGTAAAAAGAAAGGGCGCCATAACCGTGGCAAGGGTGAAAAACGCTGTGATGAACAAAGTGGTTGTAGAGGGGAACATCAGTTCGATGAAGAGGACGAGGAAACAGACCAACATGTGTTATGCAAAAGTGACTCCTTCGTCGAATTCAATAGAAGAAAGAAATTTGATTCACACGGGAAGAAGCAGGACTCGGGAGAAAAATACAATTTGCTTCAAGGAAAATGCGTACCTTATCGTAATGCAAATGGAAATGAAAAGGATGCAATGAGGAACAATTCTTCTGGGTGCACCTCCCTGGAGGAAAATGTACAAACAAAACATTTTAGACTTAGTAAAGAAAGGAAAAGTCTCACAGGCAGCTTAAAAAGACACGCATATTACCATAATCCAAATGACACCAACAATGAGTGCTACTACCCCTTTAGGGAAAACTCCTCCCCGAGGGATGAAGAAGAAGGCTACTGGCTAAAGGATGATGACAACCCAGCAGAAGAAAGCATCATCACGGGAAGGGTTAAACAATTTGAAAAAAAAATGAATGAAGAGGAGGAACATGAAATTAATAACGCCAAGGAGATACGCAGGACGAACAAAGGAGTAGAAACAGATGAAAGTAAAAAGGAAAAAAAAAAAAAAAAAAAAAAATTGAATGCAAGTCAACGTGCTGAAAATAAAAAGCCAGATGACCAAAATGAAGAAGACCACGACGATGAAGCAGAAGAAGAAGAGGAGGAAAGCATTTTCAGCATTAGCCAATATATTAACCCGGAGGATAGCGAAAAGAAACAAAACAGTGAGGAAAAAAATAATGCACTAGGAATCTTTAATTTAATACACTCCTACGCCAAGGACAGTAGCTGGTTTGACGTTTCTTCAATAAATAAATATTACCAGTTTGGAAAAAACACTGGGGACATGGAGTTGGATGACATAAACGCAGATAACGAAGGGGAGAACAACAAGGGGCGCTATGCACAGGGTTGACAAGCGGGATGATGTGAACTAGTGCACGCCATTTTTTTCAAAACCAACTCAATTATTCTGGAACCCTCTTAATATTCTCCCCCAATTGGGTTATATATGTTTCGCCGGGCAGGAGATCTGCCATGTGTTTGTTTTGTGTATGTGGCGGTTCATTCACTGCAAGTTGCTTTCGAGGCGCTCCACATGTGTGTTCGTGTGTGCGTGTGTGCGTGTGTGCGGGAAACAATTAGCTCGCACGATCGTTCATTTGTTTATTTGTTTGTTTGTTCCATCGCGCGTGTAGTGCACTGCGCCCACACGAGAACGTAACAACTGCACATTTGAAGTACGAATCTGAGTCGAAAAAAAAAAAAAATAAATAATTTAAACCTGATTAATCACTTGAAGTTCATTTTTTTGTGTTTTTTTATAAAATTTTATTTTCCTTTTATTCGTACGAATGTAAGTTTTTTTTTTTTTTTTTCCTTTCCCTTTCACCCCTCAATTTTGTCTAATAATTAACCCCCATCGAACAATTTCTGCCTCGTGACTTAGGGCCTTCCGCGTGAGTATTCTAAGTCGCCGATAATTCATTAACCGATGCTCAGACGGGATTTACCCACCCGTGAGTTTCCCTTTTTGGCAAAGTTCATTTGTTTTAAATTTTGTACATCTGCTATACACGCAGGTCACCCATTTTTTTTTTTCCCCTTCAAGTGGGAGGGTTATTTTTCCATTTGTTCAAAAATGAATTTTTATTTTATTTTTTTTTACAAATTCACCCCGCGGTGACGCTGCCACAGAGAGGGCACAAAAAAAAAAAAACAAAAAATGGCGCTCCATCCGCCCCATTTTAAAAAAATGCATGGTTTGGACTAGACACAATTTTAGACATGCATGACAAGGGAACGGGCAAAAAAAAACAGACTGACGGAAAAATGGTAAAGCCAAGGAAGACACGGGTTTGCACTAAACAGAGTGTGGAGAGAGCCCACAAAACGAAACACAAACATGAGGATGTGGGATCACTCTTCACAATCGCTCCCACTGCTGTTGTAGTTTTCCTTTATATTTAAAAGCCCCTGTTTGTTAACATTTAAAGAGATACCCTTGGGAGAATTCCGGCTCATAGTGGCAGAACCTTCCTGCATCTCCTCACCTGGAGGCTGCTTCTTTTCAGTTAGGTTACTTGGCGAAATTGTTCGCCGGTCAGCAGCAATACCCTTCAGGACAGGGGTGTCTCTTCCACCTCGTTGTGTGCCTGGGTACGGTATACCACTATGAAGCCCACCACGGTATTCCCTCTTTTGTACTTCCCCTTCTTTCTTCACTCCACTTTTGACGGGCTCCTTTTGTTTCCCCACCTGGTCCAAATCTCCCTCCTCATCACTCTCGTGATATTCTTCCCTAATTTCAAAGAAACCATCAGGGCGCAGAAACACGTTGTTTCCATCCCCCCCCGCCTGTGCATCCTCTTTCTCACAATTGGCGCGAAAATTAAGCTCCAAGGAAAGCTCCAATTCTTTCGTCAATTTGTTTAATGACTCATGCACAATGTTATACTTGTCTTGGTAAAATTTTAATTTTCTTTCTAAAAATTCTTTTGCTTTTTCTGTTGTCCTTTCGCAATATGTATTGCAGCCAATGTCCTGGTATATATTATTTGTATATTTTATTTGCCCTTCATAAAAAGCTACTTTAGAATATGGGATTATTATTTTGTAATTAAGTTTCTTCGTTAGGGTTGATATTACTTCTATTGTTTGTTTATACTCGTCAATTGTTTTTTTTATTATTTCTTCATTTTTTTTTTCGTTTTTTATTTTCAGCAGGAGCCTCTTCGTTGCTCCTTGGATTTCTTCGCTTTGGAAAGTTCCCTCATCAGCCATTATTTCTTGGGAGCTTTTAAAGGAGGTGAAGGAAAAAGAACCTCTAACAATCGTTTGTAATACAAACACCAGGGGGTCAACACAAATATATATATATGTATATATGTATAAGCGACTTATGGAAGGAAGTGCTACCTAATTTTCTCAACCAACTTCATGAATTATTCTCCTTTGCTGCTACCTTCACACATTTCTCCTTGATCAAACTGGTGTTGTCATTCTGAAAGAATTTTTTTTTTTTTTTTTTTTTGTGCCCAATAATATATATAGGTAGAGCCTTTTCCCCACGGGGAGCAAAGCACCTTTGCATAGTGTGTTCGCGGAAGGGCACAATATCACCAACAGGAGGGATGCTCAACTGGCTCCGAACCCAGTGCCCTCACTTATATCCTTTCAACGCTCTGTCCATGCTCGCACTAGCAGCATAAACACATTGCAAATCTTCCCTTCGTTCAGGGGAAAGGTACTAATACATACGCTCACACATTTGTTAATTGCGTGTGGAGGTCCTTAACAATACCCTTATTTTTATTTATTTATTTTTTTTAAAGTTAGCCTAAGTTCGTTTTTAATACATTAACGCTGCGGTTTGCCATTGCAAGAGCGACTGCCCTGTTTCGCGCCACTCCTTAAGAAATGTAAATAATCGCACACCTACTTATGAACATAAGCACGATCAACACTGGGGTAACCCACACAGCAGCACACCCGTTCCCATGCGAATACTCTTGCCCAACCGCACTACAACAAATCCAAAATGGAAAAAAAAAAAAAAAAAAAAAAGGAAAAAAAAAAATGCCTCGAAAAATTATGCATTTAATGAAGCTCCCCCCGCATACACACCAAAGATCCAATCGTCGCTTCACCCCCCCCCAAAAAAAAAGAAAAGGGGAAGAAACAAACATGGGAGGTGACACTAGGTTGGCATGGAGGGAGTGTACCACCTCACGGGTCAATTTTTATATATCTCTATGCAATGCAGTACACACAATGTGTGCATTATAATAAATAAGCCCACCTGTATGTGTAGGAGAAAAACGGGGGTAAAAAAAAAAAAAATGTAGAAAAAGGCATATACAGCTTGCCCGGACCCGCTCCCCCGCAGAACTACTTCCCAAACGGTGCACTTCTCAAAGATGTACGTCCCAAACGGTGTAGCTTTCAAATGATGTACTTCTTCAAGTCGAACTGCTTAATGAATCCCTCGAGGGACTTCTTGACCTTCTCCTTGTCAATGACAATCGTCTTGTTCACATAATTGTAGACATCGTAGTTGATGTCCTCCATAATTTTTTCTATGATGGTATGGAGTCTTCGCACACCGATATTCTCCACGTAAAAGTTCATATCATGTGCTGCATTGGCGATCGTTTCAATAGCATCATCTGTAAATTGCAAATCGATCCCTTCCGTTTTCAGCAGGGCAATATTCTGCTGCAACAAATTATTATGTGTCTTTGTTAAAATTTGAATAAAATCATTTATGGTTAAACTGGAGAGGTTCACATGAACAGGCAATCTTCCTTGTAGCTCGTTGAGCATATCATTGGGCTTAACTCTCTGGAAGGCACCAGAAGCGATAAACAAAATATAGTTAGTGTTGATATTTCCATACTTGGTGTTAATTACACATCCTTCTATGAGAGGAAGTAAATCTCTCTGAACCCCCTCCGCGCTTGCATCTGGTCCGTTATAAGATGAATTCGATTTGGAACATATTTTGTCAATTTCGTCAATAAAGACAATTCCTTCTTCTTCTACAGAACTGATAGCTGTTTTTAAAATAACGTCCTGATTCATCGAGGAGTCAATTTCCAACTGCAAAAGTTTCTGTTTCGCTTCTCGTATTGTCATGGTTTTTTTATCATTCTGTTTATTAATATTCTGGTGTATAATTTTGACGCTCTTAATATTTTGGTGATTGCTTAGCGCTTCTTTCACTGCATTCTCAACTGAGTCGTTTGAAAACATATTATTATTTACATAGTTAGGGATGTCAATGCTAACTACCTTGTCGTCCAGGGAACCATCTTTTAAATATTTTCTCCAAATATTTTTCTCCTCCTCTTTTATATTTCCTAGTAAAGAATACAAAATGATATTTTCCACCGTCTCTTGTGCTTGTTCTCTTATCTCAATTTCGAATTTTGTTTTTTGTCTCTTTACGGCTATTTCGACTAAGTCTTTAATAATCTGGTCGACGTCCTTTCCGTGAAATCCCACTTCAGTAAACTTTGTCGCTTCGACCTTGATAAATGGTGCATCCACAAACATGGAAATTCTTCTGGCTATTTCTGTTTTACCAACTCCAGTTGGCCCTATCATTAATATGTTCTTTGGGATGATGTCCTTTTTCATATCGTCATCTACTTGTATCCTTCTCCACCTCTGTCTCAATGCATTTGCTACCACTTTCTTTGCTTCCGTTTGACCTATAATATATTTGTTTAAATATTCCACAATTTCATGTGGGTACAGGCACTTTTTATTCGCTTTACCATTCTTCATTTGAAAATTTATTTTGTCCTTTTCCTTTCCTTCTTCATTTAGATTATCATCACATACTTTCTTCTGCTTATCTCCTCCTACCTCATCATTTTCTCCTCTCTCACTTCTATCACCTGTTTCTTCTCCCCCATGTGTCCCTTCTACCTTCAAGCATTTCTCCTGCCCATCGCTTCTCGCACTACTCTCTAGCGTCTCTACATGGTCATCCATATTTTCCTTCTCCTCCGTCATAGTCATTTTTTTCGTTTTCTTTCCCTTTCGACCTTCTTCCTGCAAACTATCCACGATGATAATATTTTCCTTGGTAATTCTCACTTTGGCAAAATTTTCCTCACTACTTAATTCTTTTTGTTGTCCCTCCTCTGTTTGAAGTGTATTGGCTTCACGGTTCTTCTCACCCGCATCGTACCTCCCTTCGTCTCCATTAGTAGCGGTGTAACGACCCCCTCGGTGGTTAAATCCTAAATGGGTGAGTTTCTCACCGGTGTGTATTTGTCCCCCTTCCATGCCACACCCATCTCGAGAGGATTCCTTCTTTTGAAAAACATCAAATTTGTTCATTTCGCCATTTCTGTGTAGGTTGTTTCTCCCCTCGGTCGAATTAACACCTTCGTATGATGCTCCGTTACAATGCATGCGCATCACCTTGTAATTGACCTGATCCTCCCTCTTGTGTGTACTACCTTCTCCCAGTCCCTCGTAGTGTGATATTATATCTAACTTTTTCCTTCCTGTCTGTTCCATTTTGCACCCTGTTAAAGGTGAAATGGCACCGTTTCGGAGCTTCTCTTCCCCATTGGCATAATTTACCTGTATCGTTAAATCTTCATTCGTTTGGGAATCCGTACCCAGGTTGTTATTTCTGTTCCCTTTGGTGCCATTTGATAGAAACAGTTTCCTTTCCACCCCCTTGCTTTCCATGGAGGAAACCACTGACCCATTTGTAAGCTCGGCCGCATTAAAAGGTATGTTCGAGACTGCATTTTCATTTGTGTATCTTAAGGCATCGTTTCGTATTATTCCTTTGTTTCTGTTTACATAATTAGCTAGCTGAAGGTCACATCCTTCTTCACCACCTTTGACATATTTAAAATTAAGTTGGGGGCATTTTTTCTTCTTGTTTAGAAAATTCACCAATTTAATGTACTTGTTCGGATGGAGGTTTTTCATGGTCTTCTTTTTGAGGATTGGCTGTCAGGGTGTTGGGGCTTCCGCTCCGGCGGGAGGGTTGCATACTCCTTGATCGGCTGCTACGTCGCTTGCAGAGAGCGGTGCAGGCTGTCGTTCTTTTTTTTTTTTATTTTCTTTTTTATGATTACTTTCGCCTTTTTTAGCTTTGTTTCTGGTTTTTCTTTTTTGCTGATCCGCCGGTGACACAGCCGATGGCGAATACAGCGCAAGTTGCTCCACTCAAACAGCCGTCCCTGCGACGGGCCCCACTACGTCACAAACAGGGAGAGTTCCCTTCTTTACGCCGCAGCTAATGATGTTACGCAATGTGCTGCTCGTGTGCGAACAGGTACCTAGCGATATACATACGGCAAACGCATTCGTGAGGGACAACTCTCCCTAAAGAACATTCAACTACAATGGGCACAGCATACATTCGTGTATGTGCCAATGTGACTCATTTTGTATCCATGTATACACAATACTTTCCCTTGGCTTAAACGACCTTTTTTAAAACAAAAAAAATAAAATAGCTGCCCACTTTATACAGTTGAGAAAACAAAAATAATCAACATAGGAAATCACCAATTACATGCTCAACGTTGGCGGAAGGAACAAAGAAACATGAAAACGGGATGCGCATTGTTTAAGCACGCGCGGTGGAAGAGGCGAAAAAAAAAATTGCGCTACAAACACATGGGAAGAAGAGGGTGTTAAAACAGGAATGAAAAAAAAAAAAAAAAAATCCCATATAAAAAAGTAAACAAAAATGCTTATATTTTCGGAGGGTTAAATTTTTTTTTTTTTTTTCTTTGCCTTGCGTAATTTTAACTTAATTTATTTTTACGAATGACCAGTTTGAGCTCACTGTTTTATTGTATTTTATTTATTTTTTTTTCTCCTATCAAAATTTATTTAAATAAAATCATTCCTCCTCATGTGTACCATGCGTGCGCGAGCGATTTTTCATTTATGCTTCCTTTTAACATCGCTTGGTTGTGCTTAACCAAACCGTCGCTCGATGATCCATTTTTTTTTTTTTCCCATGAGGGGAAAACCCAAATGTCCATTGCGTGCTGAGTGTATCTTTGTTATGGGTGAATGCCTGGTATGCACACGCACACCCCCATAAGTCCCCGCCCGTTCATCAATGGTGAGAAATGCGGGCGTGCACATTGCACATGGTTACATTTATGTCCATTTGTACGTTTATATACTGCTTTACATGTGCATACCCCTGTGTGCAGCCCGCGCGTACATTTTCCTCCCCCGACTTATCTTTTCTTTTTTTTCTCCGTTCACCTGAAAAAGCGCAGGTGCCATAAAACCCTCACAGGGCTACATTTTAAAAGAAATGGCCCAAAGTGCACACGGGCTTGCGTAAATACGAAACAGGGGTGAAGGCATGTATGTAAAAGTACGCACGTGTGTATTCACCTTGTTACGAGTTCACGCAAGCGTAACGGCGCTCGACTTGTCTGTTGACCATGGACATACCTCCTCGATCGCGGTTGTTCCGTTGCAAGACCCAAAACCCTTTAAAACACACAAAAGAAAGAAAATAAACAAACGTACAACGCGTTGTATGTGCGTGACGGCAGGTGTCCAATTGTTCACGCAAAGAAAATTAACGCGCACAGGAGGTACACCCCATTTGCCATCCTCTAGTCTTAAGTCCAACCCATGCGCACTTGTGGTGTGCAAATTTCCAGACTGTTTCCCTCCCCTGAGTGAAAAATAATTCTTACCAATCACCCGCATGTTCGTAAAAAAAAAAAAAAAATAAAAATATAATACGCTCAAGTGTGAGGTGAAAATGCACTTCACAGACTTGTTCACAATTTGGCAATTTTTCGTTCGGTAAACCCGCCAATGGGATGTTTCCTTGGCAAGCCTCCCCCCCCCTCTTAGCAGCCACCTTTTTCCTTTATCTACCCCCTTTCTTTTTTGCCATGATGCCAATCCCCTCGCTTTCTTTACAAAATGGGAAGGCAAAACAAAAAAAAAAAAAAATATCACAATGGGTATTGCCTTAGCACGCAGTGTGCTTTTGAAGGGAGATAATTTTTTTTTTTTTACAAGGTAGGTTTTACACAGTAAACGGTTGAACGCGCGCATCATTCGGCAACTGCAATGGGATGGCGTATATGCGCGCATGAAATGCACACAAGTGTGGAAATTGCGCCACTGTGAAAACAGCCAAATAGTACCAAAATGGATAGCTAAATAAAAACCAAAAAAAAAAAAAAAAAAAAAACACACACACACACTGTGTTGAACAATGTGTAATGACCACTGGTATAGTTACATTCAAGTATCTTCCCCCACAAAAAAATGGAATACCCCTTAGGAATATTCCACACTGCTTCGCTCCGTTTTTGACATTTATTCACAATTTAAAGCTGCTGAGAAGGGGACAGTATCGTGTAGCTTGCTTGTTGCTGCGTGAAGGTGTGGAGGAAACGACGTCACTGTAATGGCTTGTTGGAAAAACTATCCTCTCACGCTTATATGCACACACACACACACAGTTGTAATTGCCCATGCTGTTGTTTGGGAACGCTCACATTTTTTTTTTTTTCTTTTTTTCACCTCCCCGGACTTACTCGTAATGCGCTATAGTCGAGGCCGCATTTTATGTCGTCCTTGTCATACTCGGCATAGAACGTTTTGACGTTCTCCTGCATATTTGAAAACATTTGCTGCGTTGGAGGGGTACGGAATGGTGAACGGTGGAATGGTGAAAGGAGGACAGATGGGAGGTATAATTCCCCAAATGGACTCACACAGCCCATGCAGTCTTGCGCGTGGAGGCAACTCCTTTACAGTGTGCACCTCATATTCCCCTACCTGCAGTCTTATTTTATGCCCGGGCAGCCAATTCACGTTGTTAAACTTTTCGATGTCGTCCAAAATGTGGGCATTCAAGTATAGCAGAGACTCCATCTTTTTAAATAGTAAAAAAAAGAAAAAAATTAACGCAAATGGAGTACACCAAATAAAAACACCAATTTTGTGCACTTGCCAAGTGCAGATTATTGGGACTTCCCCCTCCTTACACTGTCAAATCCGACATTGATGAAATGCTTGGCAATTTCTGTAGTTAATTTTTGGCTCTTAAAAAATTCTATCACGAGTTTTTTTTCCTTCTCCAATTCCAAATCTGCGAGGCAAGTCCAAAAGGAAAAAAAGTAAAAATAAGAAAAAAAAAAATGCATTTTTCTTTGTTCCTATGTTTAAATGTTTGTCTGCCTTTTGGCAATCCCCACATTATTGACCTCTACATCTACCTCTCTGCACAATTTCGAACAAATGTAAGCCCTTTTGAAACATGCAACACCATTTCGTCTTATTACCTACATCCCAGACATGGGCAAATCCCCTCAAATGTGAACCATAATTCTTACATAAAAAATCTACCATAAAATGAATAACGTTCTTTGGTTGCTGTTTTTCAATTTCCTGAAATGGGAAAAACAAAAAAAAAAAAAATGTACGAACAAATGAAGTGGCACAAATAGCCAGACAGGAGCTAGCCTTCCTAGGCTCCTGAAGTTGGTGGACAATGTGCACATGCAGGTCCATTTACACAAAAGGTATGCAAACATAGTGTGGTAATATCAAAAGTGGAAAACGCTTCAAGGAGATTTACCTTCGATAAGCAGTCGAACAGTTTGGAAACGGATTTCCTGGAGCAATTTTCCTGCATCATTGTTTATCAGGGGTTGTTCCTTATATTCTGCAACAGTTGGCACTCTAAGGGAAGGGGAAGGAGTTGGCGAAAGTGTATGTAGGTACGCATTTGTGCATATTTTTTTTTTTTTTTGTGGGTTCCCACTAGGATGATAAATGTGTCGAAATGATACCTTGTTCTTTTTTTTGCGAAATTGGAATGAACACCGTTGCACCAGCGTCCCTGCAATTCCCTTAAACAGTTATTTAGCTGTAATACAAATGGTTGTACTTCCTTTTAAAATTATAAAAAATCATTTTTTTTTTTTTAAGTTCACGGGTGAGAATGATTGTAACACGATCGTGCATAAATACACTTGTTCCTCTTTTGACTTGATAACAAAGGATGTGGAAAAAAAAAAAAAGTGGCCCACAGTGGCAATACAATTCTTCCTTCAAGGTAACAGCGCTCTCGCGACAGACGCAGTGTAGACACGGTTGCTTATTTGCAAAAGGGCCAATCGCGTGCGCGCAGGTACAAGAGCGCATATATGTGTAAATATACACTTCCTATATGTACGCGCACACAACAAAACAAACTAGGAAATTGGGGAGACAAAAATGCGTTATGCCAGGCGATTCTTCGTGGTATAATTTTTTACTTTAATTCTCCTTTTTGTAGAAAATGGCCGAGCGATGTTGCTTTTGTGTTTTTTTTCCCCGCAATTTTGTCCACTTTTTTTTGCACTTTTTATGCCAACGTTTTTGACTTTTTTTTACAAAAATGTGTTACATTTTTTAAACAAAATTTCGACTTATTTGTCGTCAAATGTTACCCTTTTTTTTTGCGAACAATGTTTTGCCTCTTTTAATAATTACGCTGCTAATGTGTCCCCTCCAGTTGCCCATTGAACTTGGCCCCGGGGGACCATTTCCCGCGCACGCACATGTGCACACGCAAAAAAAAAAAAAAAAAAAAATCGTGAAGAGTAAACATATGAACAAATGAACAAATAACAAATTAGAAAGGAATAAACTTGGAGAAGTGACTCCACCAAGGTACCCCCAACCTTGGACATTAAAAAAGGCGACAACGTTGTGTAGCCAAAGCGGAGCCGCTAATGGATATGTAAACATGATAGACAGGCAGGTGTTCCAAAACATATGTTGAAAAGAAAAGCACCACAATTACTTCACCTGCTACGCCACTTCCTCCTGTTCCTTCTTTCTTTTTCCTGGCGCGATGTAGCTGTTGGCGGGAATGTTTCCATATACCTTACACCATAAATGAGGGTTGCTCTTACGTCAACACTTGCCATTAGGGATATGGGTCCCCAGTTCAAACTTCCTCTTTCGCCTTGTCGGGAAGGCACGCAATAGGGTGTGCTAAAATGTGCGAACACGTACCTACAAAGCAATATGAATCGTTCCTGCCCTTTCTACGCTTTTACACATGCTAAGGCAAAATTGACGCAACAGCTGTACAGCTCGTCGTAGAGGTCCTTTCCTCCCCCTCCCCCTTTTTGTTCCCACCTTTTTTTTTTTTTGTAACTCCAGATCAGATGAAGGAAAATTCAAGCATGCGCGATTTGCTACTGGTTGTTTGCCACCACCCCCAGTTTAGTGCATGCATAATTATGTATCCCCTGGAGTGACCGGAACAAAAAAAAAAAAATTGAAATTTGAAAATTGCAAAATCTTGTACCGGGGCATACTGCGCAGAGTTTGTCACGCAAGAGTAAAAAGCGCCCTCAACATGTCGAAGCGGGCGTGAAAACAAGGCCTGATTCTTTTGCGCTCACTCAATATAGGCGCGATGTTAATTCGGAACGCCCATACGTTATGAAATTGTGAACGTGAACACCAATACGAAGGCGAACGTCAACACTGAGGCGGGGACACAAAAAAGAAGGAAAAAAAAAAAAGAAGGAAAAAAAAAAAGAAGAAAAAACGGTAGGGCAGTGCTGCATATTGGTCCCATGCGATAGGTTAATCATTTCTCCTTTGTTTCCACATTTTACTAAAGTTACAAATTTGAATATAGAGTTGTCGACAAAGAAGGAATGCGCAGTGGACTTTGTTTGCCGCTGGTCAGTACATAATTCGATATTGTAATTTTTTCCCGTGTTGCTTTTTATTCCCTGCTGTTCGCTTTTTTTTTTGTTTGTTTGGAAAACATGTTTAAGAACAAAATAGCCCTTGGCAACAAAAACTACCTCGGAAACAAGGACAGGAAAAAGTAAGTGCACACAGAGGGGTTGTAGAGCGGCATGGGAGAACAAATTTTTTTCTGTTGCTATGTATGAGATGGAAGTATTCATCATGATGCGTACATTCATGCCCCCCTCACACACACACACACAAATAAATAACGCAGACTAGCCGTGACCATTAAGAACACTTTTAACCTGGAAAGTGAAGAACAAGTGGATGAAATATTAGACAAGGAAAACACATGTATTTGTAAAGTGCAAAAAACAAAAATAACAATTTACCTCTCGAAGAACATCCCAGTTCTTTTCACCATCAAAAATGATATTTTTCCAACCGTGTACACATTATGGAAATTCCCACGCATAATACCTTGCTTTGTCATATACCCACCTGCCTCTGAATTTCTAATGAAGGGAGCAGACTTGATGATACCAGGTATATGCAAAGACGTAGAACATGTAGAAGAACTAAAGGTTGGAAGTGTATGGGGTGTTCGTGTGTTTAATAACCCTCACCCTTTTGCAGTTGGACAGTGTTCAGTGGATTATGATAGTAACCACAACTTTTATAATTTAAAAGGAAAGTGTTTAAAAGTTATGCACATTTTTAATGATGAGCTGTGGAAGCTGGGCTCACAAACTATACCTCACAGCAGCTTCCAGGGGAAAATTATCGACTCGGTGGAAAATGTGGTAGACAATTTGGACGAGTTTAAAGTCTACGATGAGAATAAGGGGGCCAAGAAAAAGTGTGCGAAGCAGACGGGAGGGCGTAGCGGTGGAAAACGCGCAAACGGCGCAAACGACGTAAGCGACATAAGCGATGTAAACGGTGCTATTCATTCCCGCCTTCATGACAACCGCCCTGATGAAAACTGTAGCGATGATCAACGCTACCGAGCCTTCACGGATGAGGAAAGCGAACAGGAGAAGCCCAAGGATGATGAGGGCGGACCCACGGGACGAAGTGAAGCAAAGCAAAAAAAGACGACCACCGAAAAAAAACTAGACAATTTTTACAAACATTTTGCAGTCATACTAGCCCAAAGGAGCAACGCAAAAAGGGACGCACATCCCCTCACCAGCAAAAATGCCAAGGAAGGAAAAAAACAGACCGTGAAGGAAACACAATTTAAGGAACAGAATGTGCCAAGTGAAACGAAAAAAAAATGCACAGTGAATATCGACTCAATGGAGGATGGTTTCTTGAATCAAGTAGATGCTCCTGAGGAGGAGAAAACGAGAGAGGAAAAGAAGCAATGGTTCGATGGTAACCTCGTAACGGAGCAGAGGAAGAGGGAAGACATAAACAAAGCGATGGACAATATCACCCATACAGAGGCAGACATAATGAACGAGTGGGACGACTGCTCAGTGGAAGAAAATGCACAAACTGGTCAGGATGCTAATAATAGTATTTCAATAAAAAATTCTCAAAGAAGAAGTGAATCGAAAGAGGCGAGATATGATGATGAAGATGATTCGGTAAGCGAAGCCTCCTGTGTAGAAGAATCCAATGCTAACATACCCCATGAAAGAAATGAAAAGGACACATTCGAACTGAACAGTGAACAGCAGGATGCACTACTCATGTTCCTCTTCCTTGAAGTAGCTCAATCACTCACTGATGACAACCTCCCATTGGAAGTTTCCGGAGTGTATAGTAGAATGACCAAGGAGTTTTTGTACATACACAGAAATGAACTTTTCCTTGCAGAGTTACTAAAACTAGGGGTACCAATCGACAGTATAAACAAAATAAAAGCAAAACAAGTGAACCTAGAATTGGATGTGAAAAAATCAACGTATAAAAAAATCAGCAAATTTATTCAACATTGCTCCAAGTTAAAAATTATTAAAATAAAAGAAAACAGAAATGTCATGTCCGTCGTAAATATACGAAAAGGAAGTTCTCTCATCTCGTCTTATAAACCCATGTCTTTGGAGGAAAAAAAACTGTGCCAGTTGGAGAAAGGTGAAAATGACACGGGGGGGGCACAAAATGGGTTGGAAGGCAATACGAACAGTGCCCATCAGGATAAAAGTGCAAAACATGAAGCAAAAAATGATGCAAAAAATGAAGCAACAAACAAAGGCGCACAGGTACTCGAATTTTACATGCCATCCTCCAAAGGGATAAACATTTTCAAATGCGTAGATAGCAAATCGGACAGAAGTTCCTACTACAACATTATGCAGTTAAAAGATGTTTTAAAATCGTATGTACAGAAGCAGAAGTTAGTGAGTGGTAAGGATGCACAGGTGGTAAAGCTAAACGATGATTTGAGAGCCATTTTAAATATCCCATGTGAGCCGTCTACGTGTACCATGTCATACGAGTCTCTCCTGAGCCAATTCATCTCGACGCAACTTCCATGCTATGCCATAATCAAGCCGAATGCTAATTTCGATGTAGAGCCAATTAAGGTCACAAAAGGGAAATGCCCTTCCATTCACATCTACGCAGTTGCAAGGATGAAAGGGAAAAAATATGTTACACACATTACAAATTTGTTTCTCTTCCATGTGGATCTGAACAAATTGTCTGAACATGTACAGAAACAGCTAGCTTGTTCTTGTTCCATTGTCATTTCTCCCTCCACCAAAAAGGAGGAAATCCTCGTTCAGGGCAATGTTGTAAATATGATACACGATATTTTGATTAAAAATTATAACCTCCCCAGGAAGTACATTGCGCTGAATACAAAGTAGGGTGCTTTACAAGGGAGGGGAGAAAATGCCCATTGGGGGGGAGGCGACAACCACACATATTTCTTTTCCACCTTTTTGTGAAACCCACCTGAAGTGCATCTATCACCCTTTTTAGAAGGCCACCCAGTGAGCTTTCTCCTGTTTGGTATCCTCACCGACTTGCTTCCGTTATAGGTCAGCAGAGGTTCATACGTTTCTCGCTTCAAAGTGGTAACTATACCCAAGTGGTATAGCTGCCCGTGTCGCGAGTGTACTCATCTCATATGTCTTTTTTTTAATTTTTTTTTCATTACCTTTTTTTTTTTTTTTGCATTACGCGAGATAATTGTGTTAAAAGAAAAAAAAAAAAATTAAGACAATTTTAAAAAAAAAAAAAAAGGGAAAGAATGATCTGTGTGCATACTCCATCGTGTAAGTTTACACGCACGTAAATCTACACACACTTCTGCGTGTAGGATGGCGCTTCCACATGCGCAATCGACAAATTCAGTTATAACCGTGCGCGCGGGGAGGCACGGCTGTGTAATATTCCCCTGGCGGTGGAAAAGAAGGCACCCCGGCGGTACGGGGCGGCATGGATGCAGCAAGCACATCACATAGGCTAAAAATGAGGGGTGGATCCACACTTTCTCAACGTGTTGTATCCGCCAAATTTCACCCCAATTATGATCCCTTTTTTGCTGCATATATTTTGCTGCAGATATTTTCACATAACAAGCAAATTAATTTGACCGCTTCACAGTTAGCAAATGGCAATGGGCAAAGTGGTGTAGTATGTATAGTGGGGAAGTGTCGTCCTCGCGACCCGATACAGGGACAACTAGAAAGTCATCCTATGATGGGCATCTTCATTTTTGGGTTTGACGACCTTCTCCCAATTCTTACACAACAAATCGTAAAGCATAATATAATTGTTGCGCATGTCGATGATGGTAATTTTTATATGAATCCATTCCTTCTTGTCTAGCTCCCGCACAGCTTCCTGGTAGTCATGCACGTTAGGATACTTAATAACCTTGGTTGATAATTTTGCTCTATCCACATAGTACTTGACAATGGCATCATATAAATTAAAAGCACTCTCCTCAACCCTAGCGAGCTCCTGTATAGCTTCCTCTTGAATCCCAACTCCAAAATTATTTCCATCTTCAATTCTGGGTACATTCAATTGAATCCATAATTTTATATTACCTATTATTTCGATCAGCTCAGAAGAATATGCTTTTATTTTTTCGAGTTCTGCACTTATTTGTTTGTGCGAAGGAACGTAATGAGTGTATATAACATTTTCATCAATTACTATTTTTTTTTGTTCATGGTTAATATCATTTTTTGTATTTATTTCTATTGAATCTTTTTTTTTTTCAATCACATCGTGATCATTTGTCTTATGCTTTTTTCGTATATTTTCCTCCGTCTGATTTGAGGTATATTTGTATGAGTCTGTATCTAGGTCACTCGTGTCTAAGATAGAACCTGGCTCTGCATTTACATTGACCAGTGTGTTGAAGTAGATTATCCTTTTCGGGATTCTCTCTCTTAGGGATTCAATCGCTTGCTTTGTTACGTCGTACTTGAACTTGTTGTATTCTTCCTTCACCTTCGGATCGAACGGCTCGATTTTGTCCACCTTGCTCAGGATGTTTTCCATTATGGGTGTAACGGCGTCTGGCTATGGGTGGCGCTGCGTACCCTTGCGTAGCAAGGGAAATTCAGGTATTCGTACACGAGGGGGCGCTTCGTCGAGAGGTGACACCAGTGTGGCTTGTCTGTCAGGTCTACTGCATCTATCACGTCTTGGCTTCTCTCCCCCTCACAACTGCTCTATCTGGACAGCTTCCTCTTGTCGTATTTTTTTTCTCCCTTGTGGTTTTTTTTTTTTGTTTTCCCTTTTTCGCTGCTATATTTTAACTATCCTCCAATGACATGATAATGTGATCACCAGTCAGACTTCTCCGGCCGGTTAGGACGGATGTGAATACCCTCACCTGTTATGTTACCTTCGCTGGTTTGCGTTTGTACACGCAGGATGCAGTGGAGACTCGCCAACAGGTTAAAGCAAATATATATATGTACAGTCGTGTCAATTATGTGGGTTCTCTGCGTACCAAATTTATATGCACGCAGGTAGATGCAGTGGTAGGCAGTTTTTCTGAACTCAGTAGATGTTCGAGATTATGAGGGGGCGTGGGAGGACGCTTGTCTCTACCAAGTGAGGTAATTTACTTAGGGAAAGAAAAGGGTAAAAGCCAATCCCGTAAATACCTAACAGGTATATATACGTATACATACATATATGTACATACAAGGTACAGTCCAACAGACGTTAAAAAGAATCACCGTCTCAAGTAAGCGAAAGAAAAGGTCAAACCACTGACGACGTATTTCGAGCAGAGCAGCATACAGCTTGACTCATGCGTAGAGGAACGTCGCATTGGAATTCTTCCCAGAGGATGATACATATGTCAAATCAATTCAATGACAGCTGCTAAAATCTGCTGTATTTTTTTTGTAAATCCTGAGCATACTAATTATTTTTTCTTTTCTTTTTTTTCCAAACTATATAAAAGCAATTTGTACTACCCCCCTATTGTATTTTTTTTTAAAAAAAAAAAAAAAGGCAAGCAACTTTTTAATGAAAATAAAATTGAAAATTTTGCATTTTTCTATGAAAGGAGAAAAATAAAAAAAACGGGCGGGTTCAAGGCACAAATTTATTTTTTGACCTTTGCGTTCTGCGTCGCGCGTTTTTTTTTCTGTAGGTCCACATTTGGGCATTGTCCCATGGGCGGGGCAAGAAGGCAGCCTTTAAATATGGATTAGCCAATATGGCAGCTAACTGGCGAGGCAGTCTGCTAATGCAAGCTGTGGTGGGCCGTTACCCATAGTGCTCCGCACCCTTTTTTTTTTTTCTTTTTTATCCTTGTATACATGTACATGCAACACGGTTCCCAATAAATGCTGTGCCGTCGCGTAAACAGGGTGGGTATCCCATTTTTCAAAAATTGCTCTACTTTTTGTCCCATTTCTTATGAATATCTTTACCAATTATTGCCCCTTTTTTACATAGTTGCTCGTGGATGGGGAAACCCCATATATCCTCCTTCGTGTTCCCCTGGGGGTTACAATATATGATATCTCGTGGGGAATTCAACCCTATTCGATAGGCAAGTGCGCGTGCTTCAACCCATGTGCAAGGGAAATGATTGTTTATGCATATGGTGGTGTGCCCTCTGTGTATACGGTTAGAAGGTTTGATGAGCCACTCTCCAGAACTCTCGCCCCAAGAATTTGCAATGCGTTATTCAGTGACTGCCCCATTGGGGGCAAAACTTACGATAAAATATGTCCATATGTACACTTTTTTTTTTTGTTTGTTTTTTTTTTTAACCAAACGGGGAACTTTTCGCAGGGGATAAATGCTCCCATTTTCCCCGTCCCTTTAGTATTTCCCCCTTTTTTTTTTGTTTTTCCTTTTTTTCTTTTTTTTTTTTGCATTACACCCTAATAAGAAGCAGCATGTGAAGAGGCAAAAAAAAAAAAGCGTGGTTGCTAACACACGTATATTCGGGTGAGGGAGACGGGTGTGAGCGCTAAAGGGCATTCTTGTGTATGTCCCATTGCGCAAACGAATAGGGGGAAAAACAACCACCACTCAGTGCAACCCCCCTGTTCAGCGAAGCACCCGCTTAGTCACTCACCAAATGGGCCATGTCTAAAAGGGATGCCACACGGAAGCCAAGTAAATATATGGAAGTGTGAAACTACGTACGAGGACGCGAATCAGATTAACATCCCTTTTGCAACGTCCACTACCAAATGCTCCTTTTATTATACGTGTATGGACTAACTGGGTGGAGAAATATGTGACGTGTTTTTTTTTTTTTTTTTTTTCGTTGAACAGGAGACCTTTTACAAAATTGTGAATGGAGACGCAGTCGTCACCATGTGGGCGCAGAACACGTGGCCAACCAATAGTCTGTAAAGCTGCATGGGGTACCAACGCGAGTGAGTATTCATCTGCTGGGATACACACACACGCGGAAGGAAAGAATGTGGAAATATACCCCCACACACAAAAAAAACAAAAAAAACAAAAAAATATTCATTGTCACACAAATATAAACGTACACACATGACTGCATTTGTGAGGAAGCATGACGTTCTGCCTCCTCATTTGTATCGTGTTGCTCCTCGCGCTCCTACTTGGCCACTCAGAAAAACTACCCCACGAAGGAAGGAAGGAAAGACCACTCATAGGTAGTGCTACACTCAGGAACAGCTTGAGAAAAAAAAGAGGTGCCTACAAGCACATAATGATGAATAAATACACACAAAACAAATGTTCGAATAAAAAGCAAACACACATAAATGCGACGCTATTTCTACACGCACGACATGGATGGCAAAAGAGCAACTTGCGTTTCTCCAATCTGTACGTACGTGGGAACACAAACGTAAAACCGAAAACGAACAAGTCAATTGCGAAGCGCTTTAAACTGACAAAAAATGGAAAGCTGATACGAAAAAAAGCGGGCAGGAATCATATGCTCAGGAAAAAAACCTCGTCCAATAAAGCGTCCCTGCGGAAGACCACCACCATTGCTTCCAACCGCATTGCCAGGAAGTACAAGAGCGCCATTCATACGTAGTCCCATCGGGGCGGCACGTTGGACTGCAAGTAGCTGGGATGGACACGTAAGGGGGATAAATTCTACCCCTTCTTTTTTGCCCTTTTTTTGCGTACATTTTAGCCCCACAGGAGGTGCACCGCGTGTCTGCAACCGTTCGTATTCCTCCCATCATTACGCCCTTTTTTTTTTTATTTGTGGAGGGCGCAGTTATTTACTTCTAACCAATTTGCTTATTTTTTTTTTCCCGCCAAAAGCAGACACTTATCAATTGGCTGCAAAGCGGAGAACCGCTCCCACTTGTGAATCGCCAAATGAGATATGCTGATTTAGGCACATAATGCAGAAGAGGTATTTACCTCGCCCCGTTCCACGCATCTCTCATATAGCCGGCTCGACCTCGTAGTTACTTCTAAAGTTACGAATCATTTCGTTCAACTTGGCTCGAACTTTATGTTTCTCGGTCTGGCTAAAACGATCAATGAATAAAACGCCATCGAGGTGGTCATACTCATGCTGGAATATCCTGGCATGGATCCCCTTCAAAATTTTCAAATGTTTATTTCCTTCCAGGTCGTAATAAGTGATGGACACAACACTTGGCCGATCTACCTTCCCTTCAATGCCAGGAAATGACAAACACCCCTCCACCAATTTGGACCGAATTAGACTTGGTTCTACAATGCTAGGATTTATGAAGACTCTTTCATTTTCTTTTTTTTTTTTTTCATAGAGTGCATTCCATACGATTATTCTCATGCTGATATTCACTTGGGGAGCTGCTAATCCCATGCCTTTACTTTCATACATCACGTTAAACATATTCCTTACGAGGGTCTGTGGGGAGGAAGCAACAAAGGGGAAGAAGCGACCTGGTTGTGAACTATACACATATATATACACATATGTGCGGCATTTTTATGCATCTTGTTTATGCCTCCCTGGCGCACCATTTTTCTTACCCTCAAATTGTCATCAAAGTTCACCACCTCGTTACTCTTTTTCCGAAGCACCGGGTCTGGGTATAACACGATTTTCAAATCCTTCTCATTTTGGCCAATTAACATTCGAACGGCGGTACTTGGCTCCCGTCTCCTTATGGTGTAGCGCTTTAGACGCAAGCTATCTCTCCCCTTAATCACACATATGCAAAACATTTCTCCCAAAAGTGACCGCCAATTGTTCCTCCCATCATTACGCCCTTTTTTTTTATTTGTGGAGGGCGCAGTTATTTACTTCTAACCAATTTGCTTATTTTTTTTTTCCCGCCAAAAGCAGACACTTATCAATTGGCTGCAAAGCGGAGAACCGCTCCCACTTGTGAATCGCCAAATGAGATATGCTGATTTAGGCACATAATGCAGAAGAGGTATTTACCTCGCCCCGTTCCACGCATCTCTCATATAGCCGGCTCGACCTCGTAGTTACTTCTAAAGTTACGAATCATTTCGTTCAACTTGGCTCGAACTTTATGTTTCTCGGTCTGGCTAAAACGATCAATGAATAAAACGCCATCGAGGTGGTCATACTCATGCTGGAATATCCTGGCATGGATCCCCTTCAAAATTTTCAAATGTTTATTTCCTTCCAGGTCGTAATAAGTGATGGACACAACACTTGGCCGATCTACCTTCCCTTCAATGCCAGGAAATGACAAACACCCCTCCACCAATTTGGACCGAATTAGACTTGGTTCTACAATGCTAGGATTTATGAAGACTCTTTCATTTTCTTTTTTTTTTTTTCATAGAGTGCATTCCATACGATTATTCTCATGCTGATATTCACTTGGGGAGCTGCTAATCCCATGCCTTTACTTTCATACATCACGTTAAACATATTCCTTACGAGGGTCTGTGGGGAGGAAGCAACAAAGGGGAAGAAGCGACCTGGTTGTGAACTATACACATATATATACACATATGTGCGGCATTTTTATGCATCTTGTTTATGCCTCCCTGGCGCACCATTTTTCTTACCCTCAAATTGTCATCAAAGTTCACCACCTCGTTACTCTTTTTCCGAAGCACCGGGTCTGGGTATAACACGATTTTCAAATCCTTCTCATTTTGGCCAATTAACATTCGAACGGCGGTACTTGGCTCCCGTCTCCTTATGGTGTAGCGCTTTAGACGCAAGCTATCTCTCCCCTTAATCACATATGCAAAACATTTCTCCCAAAAGTGACCGCCAATTGTTGCTACTATGGTTAGGGTCAGTACTAGCCCTGTCCTCTTCCACTTAGCCATGGATTAACGCGATTTTTTTGTTTTCTTTTTATTTGTCCCTTGTTCTCCGCAAGAGGGGGTATGTTTCGATGGTGTGAGCATCTATGTCACTTTTCTTCCGCAGGGGGGGGGAAGTAGGTACCTCGTAAAAAAGCCGCCAACGGAAAAAAAGATAAAAAAAAAAAAAAAAGAAAAGCGGAAAAGGCCTCTTTAATTTTATATTCCTCCGCTTCATTCCTCCTTTAAGAAATTTTTCAAAAGTGAAAAGCATGAAACGTGTGCGACTCCTTTTCCCTTATCAGTTCTGTAAGCGCACGGAGCAGCCTACGAACCGTTCTGTGAAAAGGTCAATGGTGCCAAAAGGAAAAAGGAAAAAAAAATAATAATAATAAAATAATAACCGAAAAAAAATCGCCACCCTTTTGAAGAGTCAAATGGGAATTATCTCACACAACCCCCACCCCGCTACACCAAGTGAGTGCGAAAGGGATATATGATGCCTTCCTCCGCAATTACACCTGTTGAACATTTGTGTGTGGATCCATTTTGTGAGGTTGGTAATACGGAAGAGATCAACACCCGTCTTACAGAAGGGTGAAGCAGTGGCACGATGGTGACATGCCCATGCCCCGTGCTGAGCAATATATGAGGAACAGGAACACGTGCTCTTATTACACCCTTAACTACGACTTGAGGTATATAGCAAAAAGGTTCCAAGTGCACATAAAATTTTTTTTTTTTCCTTTTTTTAAAATCTTCCACGTTCTATAAGAAACGGGGTGAAAAACTTTCATCAAATTGGGATTCATAATCCCCGGGGATGCATTGAGCAATAAAATTCGACACACGAAGCAAATGGAGGGGCCATGTGTGGAAGAAAGGCAAAAGGGGAAAACACGAAAGACAAATGAGAACAACACACAAAAAAATAAACATATATAAAAAAAGCAAAATGAATGTCGCGTGGAAAAACTATCACACGCTGACTACTGTGCATGAACAAATCGGCCTGCATTTCGAAATGGCACATAGTCCTGCACCCTTCTCGAGATAAGCACAAAAAAAATGAAATGTCAAAAAAGGGTCTCTCCGCACCCCATATAAAATTTGCTCTGCCAAATAGTCAATTGCACTTAGCCTGCAACTCGAGTTCTTCCGTCTTGCTTGGGAGGTACATTTTGTTTTTTCTGTTAACGATAAAGTTGAAATAGAGTATCACGGCCTGCACGGAGATAAAAAAGAAAAAAGGGGAAAAGGGTGGCAAAATAAACCCATGAACGTAACATGTCTGGTGAGGGCGTCCGCCAATAACGTTACACATATGCTTATAAAGAGGGACACGACAAGTGCAAGGTATGCCCTTGTTTGTGTCCTTTTTTTTTTTTTTTTCGGTGGTACAAATTAAATAATTTGAATGTGATAGTTACACTTTGGGGCATAAAAAAAAAAAAAAAAAAAAAAAAAAGGGAGGCGCATTATTTTGGAGCCTATGTCGTGCCAGCCTTCTCTAACCTCTCAGGGAAAACTAACACCCACACCCCTCTTCTACTGTGATATGACCCGCGGCAGGTAAAAGGCGGTTA